TGTAGTTGCTGGGATTTATAGTTCACCTACAATCAAAGAGCATTCTGAACTCCACCAACAATGGAAATCGGCTAAAGTTGGCATACAGAACTCCCATGACCAACAGAAAATACTGGGAGGGTTTGGTGGGCATTGACCTTGTGTTTGGGAGTTGTAGTTCACCTACAACCAGAGAGCACTGTGGACTCAAACAAGGATAGATCTGGACCAAACTTGGCACAAATACCTGATATGCTGAAATGTGAACACTGGTGAAGTTTGGGGGAAACAGAACTTGACATTTGGGAGTTGTAGTTGCTGGGATTTATAGTTCCCCTACAACCAAAGAGCATTCTGAACTCCACCAACAATAGAATTGGGCCAAACTTCCTACACAGAGCTCCCATGACCAACAGAAAATACTGTGTTTTCTGATGGTCTTTGGGGACCCCTTTGATACCCCGTCGTGACCCCACTAGGGGTCTCAACCCCCAGGTTGAGAAACGCTGCTCTAGAGGGGCTTGCACAAACTTCTGTGGAGTATTTACTTTGACTGAGGGATGCTCTCTAATAGTAGTTGGGCTAGGCATAGCAGACTGCAGGGAGCTACTGGCCTCTATCTGTTGGCTCCTCAAGAAAGTCCTTATTTTTGCTATCCGATCTGGCCGTGACAGATGTGGTGGAGTCTACTTCTTTGGGGGAGGGGGAGAGTCATTAAAGAGAGACTGAATTGACATATGTTGGGAATGCTTTAATTGCAATTCACAGGTGCCATTGATTCTGCCATTTTATATAAGGGACAGCATTTACTATGCCACTGTATATAAACAGGACTTGAGCATCCATGGATTTTGGTATCAACAGGAATCTTGGAAACAACCCCAGCCAGGCATGTAGCCGGGAGGGGGGGGGGGCTTGAGGGGCTTGATGGTGGTTCACGAAAAGGCCTTACTGGTGCATTATTTAAACTGTTATGTTTATTCATATCATGATCCGATCACCATACTCAATATATCCCATATGCATGGGGGTATTGGGGTAATGATACAAAAGATTTGCTAGGCTAGACCCTCTTTCACTCAGACTCAGCCCCCCCCGAAACCCAGCCCCCCCGAAGCCCCCCTGAAAAAAATTCACACCCCCCCCCCCCCCCCCCCCGGAATCGAAATCCTGGCTACGGGCCTGACCCCAGCAGATCGTAAGGTCCCACAGTATAGGATTCTGGTGGGGTTTATTGATTGATTGGTTGGTTGATTGAATGAATCCTCTGCCTTTCTCCCAAAATTGGTTTCAAGTCACCTTACAATAATTTAGAAAGCTAATATTGGCACAGTGGCTTGAGCATTGCACAATGACTCTGGTAATCAGGGTTCAGTTCTCTGCTCATCCATGGAATCCTGTTGAGTGACCTTGGGTGAGTTACGCACTCTTCTTAAATAACAAGGTCCCACATTCCCATTGACCTACAGAGTCTGAGACTAACAACTTTTTGTATGCATCAGGAGAGACTTGAGAAACTACCAGTCACTTCTGGTGTGGGAAAATTGGCCGTCTGCAAGGATGTTGCCCGGGGGACACCCGGATGTTTTACCATCCTGTGGGAGGCTTCTCTCATGTCCCTGCATGAGAAGCTGGAGCTGACAAACAGGAGCTCACCCCGCTCCCTGCATTTGAACCACCAACCTTTTGGTCAGCAGTCCTGCAGACACATGGGTTTAACCCATTGTTCCACTGGGGGCTCCCAGACTAACAACTGAATTTAAGCCATTAAGTTTAAATTCTCAAGTAATGAAACCACACCACTGACTGCTGTACTTTTGCTTCCTAGTTATAATGAAATCCAGCTTTGTTGTCACATTTTTCCTTAGAGACCAATGACATTCTTGAGGTGTCTCTTGATAAATAAAGCATGAATCGAGTGGGTGGAAACTGTACCACTCTTAATTCTGAGTAAGAAGATGAGAAAGAAGGAATGCACGCATAAAAGGCAGGCCGCAATGAAATGAGTATTCATAGAAAACAGTTCTTTACAACATTACTGCTTCCAGGCAGTCTTATCTCCTTGCTTGGCAGAAGATCTTTGCTTTTAATCTTCTGATCTGCTTATTCATGGACATCTTTAAAGATCTATATGTGGCATTATTTTCCTCATGTTGCTATTAGAGCATTTAGGATACTTTTCCACCCAAGTCCTTTGGAGGTAAGATATGCTTAATTTCTCCATTTGGAATTGACTTCTGATAGTCATGCAGATGTAAGAAAATTTCTGTTAAATTGTTAATTTACCTATCAGGAAAGAGTGGATCATTCTTCCGTTCTCAAATTAGATGTTTTCCCCAATATTGGATTCAGATTGTCAATCTCTTATTCAGATTCCGATTCTCTTTCTATAATGTGAATATTTGTTCTGTGATTGAGAAAAATATGTTAAAAACTCCAAATATTGGACAAATGGTGCAAAAAGTCAGTCTCTATGTTCTGTAAACTGACTTCCGACAAAATCTGCCCACTCTCAGATGACTGATTAAAGATTGCACGAATTTTTTCCATCTTCAGGTCTCAATGCAAGGAGACAAATCTCCAGCCAAGTAGTACCAGTGGAACAGAAAGTTTCATTTTATTGTGTGCGATGACTTCAAAGTTAGGTTGTCAATTTCTTGATCACTCCCCCAGTTGTTCCTAGCTCATTCTAAAAGATTTTGGTATGTGTTTCATTTGTGCAATATAAATGCACCTAAAATCCAGGAGTACAAAAAGGGAAAGGATATATTGTTGGTGGATGGTTGACGGCATCAGAGCAAGACAGGGAACATACTATATCACCAGCTATCATGGTATATGAGATGTCTAGGGTGCCTACAAGAAAACTATAGAAATTCTCTTTACTTTAGTGGTTGTGCAAAAGAGGGAATTTTAGCAAAGTATTGCTCATCATGCAGCCAGGGATTAAGTAATACCTGCTGAAATTCCTTTTTCTTTACCACCATTAGAGGTATGGAAGCCCTCTCCAGTTTTCACTTTGGAAAGCCAAGATGTCCTATTTTATAGATCCTGGCAACAGTGGTGTAGAGTCTGTAATATATTCTCAGCAGGCTCTTGGTGTGTAGTTCTAGTCAAGCCTGTCAGGGGTTCAAATCAGCATGAAATTCACTCTTGTATAGTGGAATGAACTATTCACTCATGTTAGGAAGCATAGTACCTTTCTGTAGTAAAGGGGTCTCCTCAGGAATAAAAACAACATACAGACACAAACCTGTTAATTCCAACTGGAAAGTTTTTCTTTCTTAAGTTGCAGTAATAGTACAAACAGTACAAATACTTACACAGTACAGTAGAGTCGGCAGAACGTTGGATAAGCAAAAACATTGGACAATAAGGAGGGATTAAGGAAAAGCCTATTAAACATCAAATTACTTTATGATTTTACAAATTAAGCACCAAAACATTGTTTTACCACAAATCGACAGAAAAAGCAGTTCAATACACAGTGGTGTTATATAGTAATTACTGTATTTATTAATTTAGCAACAAAACATTGCAATGTATTGAAACAGTTGTGGATCCGGGCAGGAGGCAGACTGCATTGGATATACAGAATGTTGGATGAGTGAAGGTTAGATAAGCAAGACTCTACTGTATTTACTTAGAGAAGGACCGAACTAAGACTATGGGGTGCATCTACACTACAGAATCATGGGATTTGTAGTTTGACGAGGCATCAGCACTATTTTGCAGAGAAAGCTAAAGGTCTTGTAAAACTACAACTGCCGTGATTCCATAGCATTGATCCATGCCAGTAAAGGTGTTCTCAAATTTCATTAATAGATGCACTCTGAATCAGATTTATGCCTAAATACCACCAATGTGTTTTTCTTTCACTCCTGAATAATAAACAGAAATATTTAAAGGATGGGAGGGGCTTTATGGTATGTTGTATAGGTAAGAAAACGGACAAGCACTTTTTAACCTATTTTACAAACTAAGAAATAAATAGGTTGTTGTAGGTTTTTCCGGGCTATATGGCCATGTTCTGGAGGCAATTTTTCTCCTGACATTTCGCCTGCATCTATGGCAAGCATCCTCAGAGGTAGTGAGGTCTGTTGGAAGTAGGAAAAAATGGGTTATATATCTGTGGAATGACCAGGATAATGTTTCAGCTGATCACCTTGATTTGCATTCAATGGCCTGGAAGTGCCTGGGGGGATCTATTGTTGAGATCTCTTGTTGTAGTCTGACATGGTGGTTGTAAGAGTGGTCCAGCACTTCTGTGTTCTCAAATAATATGCTGTGTCCAGGTTGGTTCATCAGGTGCTCTGCTATGGCTGATTTCTCTGGTTGGAGTAGTTTGCAGTGCCTTTCATGTTATAATTTTATATGTTATAATATTATCATATTATTTGAGAACACAGAAATGCTGGACCATTCTCACAACCACCATGTCGGACTACACAGAGAAGTCACTGAAATCCACGAGCATGTGGACAATTTCAACAGAAAGGAAGAAACCATGAAAATGATCAAAATCTAGCTACCAGTATTAAAAAAACTCAAAAATTACAACAGCAAAACAACAGAGAGTAAACAATCAGGCACATCAATTCACTCTCAACAAGAGATTCCCCCAGGCGCTTCCAGGCCATTGAATGCAAATCAAGGTGATCAGCTGAAACATTAACCTGGTCATTCCACAGATATATAACCCATTTTTTCTACTTCCAACAGACCTCACTACCTCTGAGGATGCTTGCCATAGATGCAGGCAAAACGTCAGGAGAAAAATTGCCTCCAGAACATGGCCATATAGCCCAGAAAAACCTACAACAACCCAGTGATCCCGGCCATGAAAGCCTTTGACAATACAAGAAATAAATAATTTCTCTCTGCATATGTGGGAAATACCCTTCCATTTTTTACTTGCTGACTTCTGCTAATGTATGTCTTGCATATTTTTTTATTCTTGCTAACCTGTTTATGCAAACTAATGCGTGCACCAGATGAGCGAGACCCTTTGACCACAGGAGATGGAACAAAAACAAAACAAAAGCGCAGATGAAGATTTTGTTATCATGGGATTCAACATCAATGAGACTTTACAGAATGTATTTTTTGTGTTATTCCTTCTCCTTCACCTCATCACCCTCTCAGGGCACCTGGCTATTGTGATCATCAGTTTAGCTGATCCTACCCTTGGCACCCCCATGTATTTCTTCCTACGTAACTTGTCCTTCATTGAAATCTGCTACACATTGGTCATTGTGCCCCAAATGCTGGCTAACTTCTTGGGCAAGAGCAGGCAAGTCTCCTTCATGGCCTGTGCCTCCCAGATGTATTTCTTCATTGCCTTTGGCGGTGCAGAGTGCTTTCTGTTAGTTGTGATGGCCTATGACAGGTATGTTGCCATTTGCAACCCCTTGCGCTACACTCTTGTCATGAACCAAAATCTCTGCATACAGCTCTTGATAGTAGCCTGTGTCAGTGGATTCACAATCTCCCTGGGACTCACCATGCTGATTTTCAATCTCCCCTTCTGTGATTCACACAATATTAACCATTTTTTCTGTGATATCCCACCTGTGATGTTCTTAGCCTGTAGTGATACACATGTCAACGAAATGGCTGTTCTCCTCGTCTGCACAATGATCCTGCTCATTCCTTTCTTGCTCATCCTACTTTCCTATGTCTTCATTGCCAATGCCATTTTCAGAATTAAATGTTCCCAAGGGCGGAAGAAGGCCTTCTCTACCTGTGTTGCTCACCTGGTTGTAGCTGTTCTCCACTATGGTTGTGCCATTTTCATCTACATCCGACCAAAGGCTAGCTACTCCTTGAATGAAGACAAGGTGGTTTCTTTGATCTACACTAATGTCACACCAATGTTGTACCCCATGATTTACAGCCTCAGGAACAAGGAAGTCAAGGGGGCTCTCAAGAGAGTTTGGGGAAGGCTTTTTGTTTCAGTAACAAGGCAGTGATAGTAAAGAACCTATTCTTCAAAATTTGACTGGGTCATAGTGTTTGGGACTGAAAAAATGTATAGGTTCTTGTGGGTTTTTTCGGGCTATAGGGCCATGTTCTAGAGGCATTTCTCCTGACGTTTCGCCTGCATCTATGGCAAGCATCCTCAGAGGTAGTGAGGTCTGTTGGAATTAGGACAATGGGTTTATATATCTGTGGAATGGCTGGGGTGGGGCAAAGAGCTCTTCCTTGCTAGAGCTAGGTGTGAATGTTTCAACCTTCATTAGCATTTGAAGGCCTGCCTGAGCCTGGGAAAAATCTCCTGCTGAGAGGTGTTAAGCTGTGCCTGGTTGTTTCCTCTCTGCTTCATTAGCATTTGAAAGCCTGCCTGAGCCTGGGAAACCTCCTGTTGAGAGGTTGTTAAGCTGTGCCTGGTTGTTTCCTCACTGGTTGTTTTTTTTTCCCAGGTTCAGGCAGGCCTTCAAATGCTAATGAAGGTTGAAACATTCACACCTAGCTCTAGCAAGGAAGAGCTCTTTGCCCCACCCCAGCCATTCCACAGATATATAAACCCATTGTCCTATTTCCAACAGACCTCACCTCTGAGGATGCTTGCCATAGATGCAGGCGAAACGTCAGGAGAAATGCCTCTAGAACATGGCCCTTAGTAAATTAGTACCTTAGCACCATCTCTAATGGTATTCCGCAAAAAGTTGAAGACCTGGATGTTTGTGCAGGCGTTTGAGTAATTTAGTGCAATCTGGTAATGGAACATAGGAATGGAACAATGGACGACGAACCTGGACTACGCTTGGATGATGAGAAGATTGGGTACGGTTGTTTTTTTTGTAATAATTGTGCATTGTAATTGCTTATTGGTAATTTATGGATAATGTGTTAAGTCAATTGTTATATGTTGTATGGAACCACTGCTGTTTCTACTGTTTTTACTGTTTGTGAACCGCTGTGAGTCGCCTTCGGGCTTGAGATACAGCGGTATATAAGCAAAGTAAATAAATAAATAAATAAATAAATAAATAAATAAATAAATGCCTCTAGAACATGACCCTATAGCCCGAAAAATCCCACAAGAACCTAGTGATTCCAGCCATGGAAGCCTTCGACAATACAGAAAAAATGTATACTTGTTTTGTTTGTGGACAATAACTTCCCTACCTTCAAAGGAAAACCCAGCGTTAACCTCCCTGCTCCAACATCTTTAATATTTCTAAAAATTCAGTTATCAACTTTTGTTCTTGTCTTTCTCATAGATTACTCCAAATCACTTGATCTTACTTCTGAAACCTAACCAGAATTATGACAGCTGTAGTTGTGTGCCCTCAGGTCATTTCTGACTTCCAGAGACCCTAAGGTGAATCTATTATGGGATTTTCTTGGCAATATCTGTTGAGAAGGGGGTTGTCTGAAAAAATGTGACTTGACCAAGATCACTGATTGGGTTTCCATGGCTTAGCAAGGATTTGAATCCTGGTCTCTAGAGTCTTTTCCAATGTGGGAATCACTGCACCATGCCGATCCTATTTCTAGCTTTACTCTGGAACTCAGAGGGATCTATCCCCAGTCCATACATAATAATAAAAATTTAATTTTCTGAGTTATCAACTTTTTGCAAAATGAGCTGAATATGAAACCATTGAAACTGAAGTTACTACACACACCTTAGTGTTAAGTAGTAAAAATTCTTTTCTCTGTCATCTTTGTCTGCTGAGAGCAATGAATAGAAACAAGATATCTATCACCCATTACCCAATAAACCAGGAGTCCTCAAACTTTTCAAACAGAGGGCCAGGTCACAGTCCCTCAAATTGCTGGGGGGCCGGATTATAGTTTGAAAAAATATGAATGAATGAATGCACACCACACATATCTTATTTGTAATGTTCAAAACACTTAAAAACAATCCAATAATTAAAATAAAGGACAATTTTAACAAATATAAACTTAATAGTATTTCAATGGGAAGTGTGGGCCTGCTTTTGGCTGATGAGATAGGGTTGTTGTTGTTGTTGTTGTTGTTGTTGCTGTGTGCTTTCAAGTCGTTTCGGACTTAGGTTGACCCTGAGCGAGGGCTGGGTAAATGACCTTGGAGGGCTGTATCTGGCCCACAGGCCTTAGTTTGAGGACCCCTGTCCTATTGGATAGCTAATCCTACAGTAATGCATTCATGGCTGTTTCATATTCATGTTCCCTACATAGGAACCATGAAAGTCTCTTAGTCTCTATTTGCAAGGAAGAAGCCACTATGGTCAAGGGGAGGCAATTCCCCTGTTGATCAGGAAGCAGCTGACTTATAGTTCCGCCCTACTCACTTGATTGATTGCTGGTGACAGAAGGAATACAACAGGGTTGCTACTTCTCCCTGTGACATTGAGGAGGGGTGGAAATGTCCATCAGCTGTTTCCAAGGACACGAGAACAGATCACTAAAGGTAGTGGCTGCTTCCAGTAACCAGGGATTGGGATATCAGGATATCAGGATAGGACAGTAATTATGGCTCTTAAACATACATAAATCCCACATAGGAATCTAGTCCCTCGCTTATTATACACTGCTTTCAGATCTTATGTGTAAAGTGTAAAATAAATATTTAAAGAAATAGGTAATGTACAACAGTGCTCCATGCAGTCATGCTGGCCACATGACCTTGATGGTGTCTACGGACAACGCTGGCTCTTCGGCTTAAAAATTAAGATGAGCACCAACCTCCAGAGTCAGGCACGACTGGACTTAATGTCAGGAGAAAATCTTTACCTTTGCCTTACAATATAAAATAAACTCAATTATGAAACATTTGCATGTATATGTAATCTCTTGTCATGAGACTAGAATTAATATTCATAATGATTAAACAGGAAGAAGAAAAATGAAGGAAGAGTTTATTTGGATGCTTAATCTTTAAACATCTATATAAATAAAAATGTAATGTTCGTTTGTGGGATTAACATAACTCAAAAACAATTGGACGAATTGCCGCCAAATTTGGACACAAGACATTTACCAACCCAAGGAGTGGCTATCACTCAAAAAATTGATTTTGTCATTTGAGAGTTGTAATTGCTAGGATTTATAGTTCACCTACAATCCAAGAGCATTCTGAAATCCACCAATGATGGAATTGAACCAAACATGGCATACAGGACTCCCATGACCAACAGAAACACTAGAAAGGTTTAGTGGGCATTGACCTTGAATTTGGGAGTTGTAGTTCACCTACATCCAGAGGACTCAAACAATGATGGATCTGGACGAAACTTGGCACGAATATTCCATATGCCCAAATATGAACACAGAGTTTGGGGGAAATAGACTTTGACATTTGGGAGTTGTAGTTACTGGGATTTATAGTTCACCTACAATCAAAGAGCATTCTGAACTCCACCAATGACAGAATTGGGGCAAACTTCCCACACAGAACCTCCATGACCAACAGAAAATACTTAAGGCCATCCAGTCCAACTCCCTTCACCAGGGCATGAAAACGTAAACAAAGCTCTCCTGACAAAGAGCCATCCAGGCATAGATAGATATGATTCACACACAGAGAGAGATATAGTATCATAGATCTGAAAGGGACCCCTAAAATAGGACAATAATATGCTGCATGTTCCAGAGTAGGCAAGCCACACAATCTCTACATCAACACTGACAAAGAAGTACTGTTTATCCACAACCATCAAGACATTCCATATATTAGAAACCAACACTTTCTCATTACTTTATTTTCGAAATCACCAGACTGGGCCACAACAACGTGTGGCAGGGGACCACTAGTCATTAATAAGCAACTTAGCTTGTTTCAGTGCTTCCTTGACACTAATGTTTGGTTTGAACTGCTCAGTTCACATCACTTCCTTTATTTTGCTGCTGTGAAGATTCAGCTGCAATGCCAAAGGCGAGATCTTGCTTCTATATCTTGTGAGCAATGAGTAACAAAGAAAACCAGTTTTGGGGCTCCTAAACTGATGGAAAATACCCCCTTAAAATATTTAGACCTGCTGCAGCTAGTGACTTTCATGTCAGTGTGGTGATGAATCTATTCTGGATTCTGGTATTGGTTTTAAATGAACTATCCAAGGTGCTGAAACTGCAACTTCTTACCCATACTGCTCATTTGGTTTATCCCTTGCCATTCAACAAAATCCTAGAGTGGTTAAAAAAGCTCTAACAGTTTTAAGCCAAATTTAAAATTCAAATTTTGCAAGACTATCTTTTGATTGTTGCTAATTACCATAGCTTGTTTATTAATTAATAGCCAATAGGTTTTGTAACAAGTCCCTCAGTCGATTGTGCATTGACTTTATACAGAGTGAGGCAGCATAACGTCCTTTTTTAAAATGTGCGCCATTCAGTCGGTTGAAGACGTATCAGAGCACAGTGGTCTTGTTCGAGAGGCAGTAGTATAAAGTTTTGTACTGACACAGTTCAGTCACCATCATACGTTGAAACAGTGAGGAGCGTTGTGCTGTCGTGCGTCGGGCCTATGATAATGTCTGTTTACAGGACGTGCTTTCCGTATGCCCAATGGGATGCCGGGGTGCCTCAGCTAAGGGGTCTCATAGGTTTCCCAATACAAAGTTCTGTAGAGGCTCAAAAGAGGTTCAATAAAGTTCTTTATTAAGGCTTAAATCCTTGAACAAACGAATTAAATGCTTTATAATCTTGAAAAACTAGTAGCTTTCTCCATCTGCCAACAAGGGACAGGCAACTGCTTGATAAACTGTTCCTATCTTCTTTAGGGAAACCTTCCGATCCATCCTTGGGCAATCTTTCTTTACCCTGCTGTCATGAAGCCCCAAATCCTGGCTCCAAGCTGCGTTATGGATAACCCGAGTGTTCTCTTACCAGGCAATGGTTGCTGTAGATCTGCCAAGCTGGTGTCCTGTAGATTTGCCCTACAAAGGCCGTGGAACCATTCCTTTATTTTCCAGAAAAAGCTGGCTGTATTCCCCCAGCAAAGCTGTGGAACTGTAACTTTACTCCCCAGCAAAGCTATAGAGGTTTTCCTTTTTCCCCAGCAAAATCTGTAAGAAGTGAAGCTTTTTGCAGGTGGGACAGAGAAAGCCCACACGTCCTGCTGTAAGGCTCCAAACTGTGAGACTGAACAAAAAAGTCTCCTTTTCCCTCCAAACCTGTGGAAAGGGGCAGATCTAAAGGCTCTAATGATGATTGATAGGTTGTTGGCCCTATGACTGCAACCTGGGAAAAGCTACCCAATTGCAAAATGCAAGGCCCAAATAAATTCAAACAAACTAACAGTGCAAGAAAAAGAAATTCAAATCTCCTGGCACAGCCGTGCCAGCACAAGCGTGCTTTTGCCATTGAGGCCTACTTTTCGAGCAGATTTGGAGTGGCCAGCCTGCTCTCCAAATGTGGCCCCTTGTGATTTTTTCTATGGGATTTTTTGAAATCCCATGTTTATGTGAACCAAGGACCCTACAAGATTTGTAGACCAACATCCAGGAAGAAATTGCCAACATAACACCTGCTATGCTGGCAAGAGAAATGACAAACGCCAGAAATCAGTTTACTCAGTGTATGGAGAATGGGGGACATCACCTACCTAATTTGATTTTCGAAACTACATAAAACAAAACTTTAGGTATGTGCCTACATTATTAAAAAAATTCTGATTCATACAATGGGTTTTATTAAGTTTTGAAAAAAGGAAGTTACGCTGCCTCACCCTGTACTAGCTTAGGTACCTGGCAATGCCTGGCTTAGGTCGTTTTGCAATGATATATATTAGAAGTAGTCATTTTGGTTTTGGATGTTGGGAATACAGGCAATCACAAGTTACAAACATCCGACTTATAAATGACTCATAGTGAAGAACAAGAGTGAAAGAAGAGGAAGTGAGAGAAATCTAGCCCTTGGAAGGGAAATTCACTCCTACAGAAGACTTATCATGGGACAAAGATGTCTCCACTGAAATTTTATCACCAATCCTGGTTCCTAAATCAAGCCAATTTTTTTTCAAAATGCAGTTATCACAGAGACAGAAATGAGGTGAAATCTTCTGAACAGGGCCACTGGCAGCAAAACAGTACTACAGGGGTGTTAACCCTTCCCTATACTAGCCTATACTTAAAGGGCTGTTGTGGCACAGCGGATTAAACCTCCAAGCTGCAGAACTTGCTGATCGGAAGGTTGGTGGTCTGAATCCATGGATGGGGTGAGCTCCCATTGTTAGCCCCAGCTTCTGCCAAGAAAACTAGAAAACTAGAAACTAAGAAAATTAGAGCAATCCTTTTTTTTTCTCTTTTCCTCTAAAAAGTAGAAGGCAAGGGTCGGGGTGTGGAGTGACAATGCCTCCCTTCCTCGGAGAAATTCAAAAACATGCAAATGTGAGTAGATCAATAGGTACAGCTCCGGTGGGAAAATAACGGCACTTCATGCAGTCTTGCTGGCCACATGACCTTGGGGGTGTTTATCGACAACACCAGCTCTTTGGCTTAGAAATAGAGATGAGCACCACGCCTCAGTCGGACACGACTAAACTTAATGTCAAGGGGCAATCTTTACCTTTACTATACTTGTCTACCTAATACAATATTTTCAATAAGCAGGAAAAAAGGACCCATAACAATGACACAAGACCATTGCGTGCCTTCCGCCCCCCCAATTTTCCCTAATCCTTTGTAAAAGGATTACGGTAATTTGAAGGATTGTTTTCTGGAGTCTAAGGTGTGTTGAGCAACATACCAAAGCATTTCATGAAGAATGTATTGTCGAAGGCTTCCATGGCCAGAATCACTGGGTTGTTGTAGGTTTTTTCAGGCTATATGGCCATGGACACAGAATATTATTTGAGAACACAGAAATGCTGGACCACTCTAACAACCCCCATGTCAGACTACACAGAGAAGCCATTGAAATCCACAAGCATGTGGACAATTTCAACAGAAAGGAGGAAACCATGAAAATGAGCAAAATCTGGCTACCAGTATTAAAAAACTCTAAAATTAAAACAGCAAAACAACAGAGAGGAAACAACCAGGCACATCTTAACACCTCTCAACAAAAGATTGCTCCAGGCACTGCCAGGCCATTGTATGCTAATCAAGGTGGTCAGTTGAAACATTCACACCTAGCTCCAGCAGACAAGAGTTCTTTGTCCCACCTGGTCTTTCCATAGATATATAAACCCATTTTCCTAGTTCCAACAGACCTGACTACCTCTGAGGATGCTTGCCATAGATGCAGGCAAAACATCAGGAGAGAATGCCTCTAGGACATGACCATATAGCCCGAAAAAACCTACAACAACCCATTTCATGAAGGATTGTTACAAGACAAAGGCAAATGTGGGCTTGCTATATGTCTCAATAGAGCCATGTTACATCATTCATGTATTTCATAATTTGGGGTCCAGTTTTCAGTAACAGTTCCTTTGTGTCAGTAAAAATAAACTTTCTTAAGCAATTCTTTGTTATTCTGAGAAACAAAAACATACATAAACTATACACTCTTCCCCAAAAAGAGAAGTGAAATGAGGGGAAAACATGTTGTAAACTGGACGGTACTTTAATTAGTTGTAAGAATGAAAAGAAAGATGTGTCATCACAAACAGAATTCACAGTGAATTAGAGGGTTTTTGTAATGGTTATCTAGCCAAAAACTCTTCACATAATAAAACAATTGAAATATTCTAGCTTCACCTGTTACAAGTAACAAGTAGTAGTATAAAAAATATCAAACCATTGTAATCGTCACAAGTCTTTTGAAAGTGATATACTCAAATTTCCAAGATTTTTTTATCAGAGATACTCACACTACGCTGTGAAAGAGTTGCTTTTCAAGTTGAATGAGGCCCAGGACCTCTCTATCTGAGATTTTTAAAGGCCCCTCCTTTAACTACAAACCCCATAACTCTGCCACAGCATTTAAAGCAGGATAGCAACTCTTTCACAGTGTAGTGTGATAATCCCCCATAGTTCTTGGCTTTGGTGCTTTGCAAAAAGTATTGTTGGTTCACCAGAAAGGGTTTTGCTGTGAGTTTTCTGGGTTCTATGGCCATGTCCCAGAAGCATTCTCTCCTGACGTTTCACCCACATCTATGGCAGGCATCCTCAGAGGTTGAGAGGTCTGTTGGAACCTGGACACCCTGGACATTCCATAGATATATAAACCCCACTTGCCTAGTTTCCTCACAACCTCTGAGGATACCTGCCATGGATGTGGGCAAAATGTCAGGAGAGAATGCTTCTGGAACATGGCCACACAGCCCGGAAAACTCACAGTAACCCGGTGATTCTGGCCATGAAAGCGTGACAGAAAGAGTAACAGACCGTAATATTAGGTAAAGGTAAAGGTAGTCCCCTGACATTAAGTCCAGTCATGTCTGACTCTGGGGTGTGGTGCTCATCTCCATTTCTAAGCCGAAGAGCCAGCGTTGTCCGTAGACACCTCCAAGGTCATGTGGCCGGCATGACTGCATGGAGCGCCGTTAACTTCCCGCCGGAGCGATACCTATTGATCTACTCACATTTGCATGTTTTCGAACTGCTAGGTTGGCAGAAGCTAGGGCTGACATTACTCATATCCTTTGTTGCAAAAACATCTAAAATTAAAAAAAATCTTGATATATAAAACTAGACTGCAACAACTAACAGAACTATATCTAAAACAATCATCCCAACCTACATAAAACAAGACTATTAAACATGTAAGCCGGCCCGAGTCCCCATTGGGGGAGATGGTGGTGGGGTATAAATAAAGTTTATTAAATTATTATTATTATTATTATTATTATTATTATTATTATTATTATTATACACATACTAAACATACAAGAACTAGTCTACAAGCCTCACACTTGTTGCCTGTTTTTACTTCTTATTTTCTGCTCCCTTAAAATATCACTTATATACCTACTCTTCTACTTTTAATAACACTCTTCTAAATCAAAAAACCAGTAGTAGACATTTGTCCTTATCTTTGCTGTAGGGTACATCATGAGAAGAAAGTAAAGCTTAGAGAAGACAATTATGCTGGGGAAATTGGAAGGTAAAAGGAAGAGGGGCCGACCAAGAGCAAGATAGATGGATGGGATCCTTGAAGTGACTGGACTGACCTTGAAGGAGCTGGGGGTGGTGACGGCCGACAGGGAGCTCTGACGTGGGCTGGTCCATGAGGTCATGAAGAGTCAGAAACGACTGAACGAATGAACATTGCTGTAGGAAAATAATAAATAAGTCCCAATCTTCCTTAAAATCAGTCAGGGATTTCTACTTGATCAACATCGTCAGTTTGTCTTTCTATTCTAATTCATAAATCTTTACCAGTCATCCTTCTTTTAGGATAGCTAATTGTTTCCATCTCTGGGCATAGATGATTCTCGCTGCAGTAATCATGTATTAGTTCTTCATGCTTCAATGCTAGTTTCCATGCATGTTTCCATGCTTGTTCAGCATTCCCAACTAGTAAAACTCTGGTTTCATCATGATTTAAACTTTAACAATTTCTTCTAATATTGTATGTATTTGAGTCCAGTATTTTTGGGCCTTTTTACAAGATCATCACATGGGGGAAATGTCTCATCATATTCCTTGCATTTCCAACATTTATACGAACTGTCTTTAGCCGTTTTAGAAAGCCTCTCTGTTGTCATACACCATCACACTATGAGGATCAAAGCATGAGGATAAGCATTTTAATCTATATAAATAAAAATGTAATGTTCGTTTGTGGGATTAACATAACTCAAAAACCACTGGACGAATTGCTGCCAAATGTGGCCACAAGACACCTACTAACCCAAGGAGCGACCATCACTCAAAAAATTGATTTTGTCATTTGGGAGTTGTAGTTGCTGGGATTTATCGTTCACCTACAATCAAAGAGCATTATGAACTCCACCAATGATGGATTTGAACCAAATATGGTACACAGGACTCCCATGACCAACAGAAAACACTAGAAGGGTTTGGTGGGCATTGACCTTGAGTTTGGGAGTTGTAGTTCACCTACATCCAGAGAGCACTGTGGACTCAAACAATGATAAATCTGGACCAAACTTGGCACGAATATCCATATGTCCAAATATGAACACAGATGGAGTTTGCGGGGAATAGACCTTGACATTTGGGTGTTGTAGTTGCTGGGATTTATAGTTCACCTACAATCAAAGAGCATTCTGAACCCCACCAACGACAGAATTGGGGCAAACTTCCCACACAAAACCCCCATGACCAACAGAAAATACTTAAGGCCATCCAGTCCAATTCCCTTCACCAGGGCAAGAAAACATAACCAAAGCCCTCCTGACAAAGAACCATCCAGCCATAGATATAGATAGATATGGTTCACACAAACACAGATATAGTATCCTAGATTTGAAAGGGACCCCTAAAGTAGGACAATTATATGTTGCCTGTTCCAGAGTAGGCAAACCAGACAATCTCCACATCAACACTAACAAGAAATACTGTTTACCCACAAGCATAAAGACATTACATATATTATAAATGAACAACTTCTCATTATTTTCCAGATCATCAGACTGGGCCACAGCAACGCGTGGCAGGGGACGGCTAGTCTTATATAAAATAAATAAACATACAATCTTACAATGAAAGAAGACATTGGATGATGGTATCATGGGGAATAGCGCATGACATTCTGGGAAACCCCAGATAAAACAAACAAACATGCAATCTTACAATGAAAGAAGACATTGGATGATGGTAATCATGGGGAATAGCACATGACATTCTGGGAAATCCCAGATGTCCAAATAGGTCCCCCATTAAAGCTAGATTCACTCCCTGGGCTTGAGATCCTCCACTCCTGGTTTCATATGAATCAATGGTGTAGATGGTGTCGATGTTGTTCTCAACCTAATTTCATTCACCCATCAGCACTTTGGATCTCAAAAATATGCAAGCCTTTCATTGTTCTCTGTGTGATTGCTCTGGTTGCTAGGCTTCACAAATAAAGAAGCATGTAGTAAATCAATAGAAATGTGCACAAGACTTAAAGCTAAAGTACCTGGAATGCTAGGGTTAAACTGCTAGCTGCAAGAAATCTGCTGACTGGAGGGTTAGCAGTTTAAAGATGCGAGTTGGGGTGAGCTCCCAGCTGTCAGCCCTAGCTTGAAAACATGTAATACAAGTAGATCAATAAGTACTGCCTCAGTGGGGAGGTAAAAGGGCACCCCGTGCAGACATGTCGGCAACACAATTAGAGAAGTCTATGGACAACAGACTCTTCGGCATGGAAAAACAATGAGACTTGATTGTTGATTCTTGGTTGTTGATTCTGATGCTTGTTCTATATATTGTTATGATGTTGTTTTTATGTTGTTTTATACTAATGTTATGTATTTTAAAATACATAACGTGTATTTCAAAACATATGTTATGTTTTAAATTTGTTGACTGGGCTTGGCCCCATGTAAGCCTCCCCGGGTCCCTTTGGGGAGATGGAGGAGGGGTATAAAAATAAAGTTGTTGTTATTATTATTATCATCATTATTAAAATTGAACAAGAACACCTCCCCGTGGCTGGAATTGAGCATTGCCTACAGATGCCAGAAATGGAAGGGGAAGGTTTTTACTTCTGTATGTGTATTGTATGTTGTTGTTTACTGTGCAAAAAGGTATTGAATGTTTGCCTTATATATGTAAAACTGTAATCCGCTCCGAGTCCCTCCAGGGAGATAAATCAGACTATAAATAAAGTGTATTATTATTATTATTATTATTATTATTATTATTATATAATTTTTTATTTATATTCCACCCTCTCTCCCTGAAACAAGGTAATTCCAGCTCTAAGCTGTAGGTCAGCCACTGAGAAGTTTTCAGATCTTCAGCTTAAGCGATCCCTCGTTGGCCGAGTAGGATAGTCTTCCAGGATCAGTATTCTGGTGGGTTCGTAGGTGACTGTGGAGCCCTATTCTTGATCTGCATCTTCTCCCACAGTGAGGGCATTGGTTTCCAGGTGGAAGGCAGTCTCGGTCAGGGTTGACTTGACACGCCTTCCTCATGGCACGTTTCCCTCTTTCACCTTCCATTTGCGCCTCTTCAAATTCTGCAGCACTGCTGGTCACAGCTGACCTCCAGCTGGAGCGCTCAAGGGCCAGGACTTCCCAGTTCTCAGTGTCTATGCCAGAGTTTTTAAGGTTGGCTTTGAGTCCATCTTTAAATCTCTTTTCCTGTGTACCAACATTCCTTTTTCCATTCTTGAGTTCAGAATAGAGCAACTGCTTTGGGAGATGGTGGTCAGGCATCCAGACAACGTGGCCGGTCCAGTGGAGTTGAAGGCGGAGGCGCATCACTTCAATGCTGGTGGTCTTTGCTTCTTCCAGCATGCTAACATTTGTCCGCCTGTCTTCCCAAGAGATTTGCAGGATTTTCCAGAGGCAGCGCTGATGAAATCGTTCCAGGAGTTGCATGTGACGTCTGTAGACAGTTCACGTTTCGCAGGCATATAGCAGGGTTGGGAGGACAATAGCTTTATAAACAAGCACCTTGGTAGCCCTACGGATGTCCCGGTCCTCAAACAGTCTCTGTTTCATTTGGGAAAATGCTGCACTCGCAGAGCTCAGGCAGTGTTGTATTTCCATGTCGATGTCGACTTTGGTGGAGAGGTGGCTGCCAAGGTAGCGGAAATGGTCAACATTTTCTAATGTTACACCATTAAGCTGCAATTCTGGCATTGGAGAGGGATTGGCTAGTGACTGCTGGAAGAGCACTTTGGTTTTCTCAATGTTCAATGACAGGCTAAGCTTCTCATATACTTCTGCGAAGGTGTTTAGAGTGGCTTGTAGATCTTCTTCTGAATACGCACAGACAACATGGTCATCAGCATACTGGAGTTCTATAACAGATGTTGTTTCAGATCTTATGATAATCAGGTGGGCATGAGGAGTCTTGGAAAGTGCATTTCAAAGAGGGTGAACTGATGGGGCTGGTGGATTCATAACTTGATCCGAAACCTGAGGAAACGTGGAATGGTATATCAGCCCTAGAATAAATAAGAAAAAAACTCACATACACACTTTTTCACTTGGACTAAGAAAAGGGTCTAGCTTACCTCAATTCCTGCAAAACACAAATGTAGTTTTCACTCATTCAGAAGTGGAGAGAAGTCCGGAGGGGAAGCTAACTGCTACAGCCTCCCTATGATGTTACTCAGCCAGATGTGTCAAAGTTTTCATCTGTAAAATCTTAGAGGGTATGTATCCTTTTGTTACAATTTTTTTGTGAATTTAGAGTTCACTCCCACAAATGCATGAAGGGTGTACGTATACACACACCATCCCTTAGGTACCATCCAACCATATGTCATATACACGTCAATCTTTGAAGAATGTTTACTAGATATTTAGAATGTAGCTTGGACTACCTGAAAAAAATGTTAAGTGTTTTTAAATAAAAAATGTACATTATAAATAATGTATAAGTGCACATTCAAAGTGAGGAGACAGAAGCATCATTTTCTTCATACTATACTCATTCCAGCCTCCCTCCCTTCTTGCTCTCTCTCTCTCACTCACTCTTCATGAAGCCAAACATATCAGGAATAAAAAACACACAACATCAACTAACTCAAAGTTCCTCAAAGCAAACAAGAACAAAGTAGACAGCAATCTCCCAAAGCAGTCGAGAGGCCTAAAGCCCTGTACTCTCACGCTAATGCTCACTTGGATGCTAGCTCTTAACTCAAAATGCTGCTCTTATGTCAAAGCAAAACCGTTGCTGAGTGATAGCTCTTAATTCAAAACACATTTATCTTGGGATGCTCTTAAGTAGAGGTTCCACTGTATAAATTAAGCAATTGGGGGGGGGGGGGGGTCCTTCATTGTATAATATATCTCTTGTTGACTTCTGCTTTAACTTTTAGCACATGCTGTTGTCAGATGAGGAGACAGTTTCAGATTACACCATTTCCCCATTTTAGATTCATTACCGTCTATTTTATTACACAATTAATCTTCTTCTTCCCGTTTAGACCCAAAGGAATTGTCAGAAGGCTTGGCTATAAAAGCCACCAAGGTTCTCCGAGGATCCATGCCTCATCCACGAGGGAACTGCAGAGATGAAAGTGTTGGCCTTCATCCTCCTCTGCCTCTTCATTGCTGTCAATGAAGCCAAAGTGTATGAGAAATGCGAACTGGCTAGGATCCTGAAAGAAAAGCAGATGGATGTCTCATCTGGCTACAGCCTTGACAATTGTAAGTTTTCTCCTCCTTCCTCTCCATCCTTGACTTAATATGGTTTTGGACTTTTTAACAGCTAACGCAAAATGTGGGGTAGGGTTTATTGATTTACTATATTTATATACCGCCATTCTCAGCCTGGGGGTAACTCAAGGCGGTTTACAAAACGGCACAATTCGATGCCCACAATAACATAAAAACAGTTAAAACATTTAGCATAAATAAAATTCAGTAAGTAATAAAACTTCTCAAGAAACAATCCACAGCCATATAGATCTACCCTAATGACTTCACTTTCATTGTTCTTGGTAGAGTAAGAGAACCACATAAGGATGGAAATGTCCACCTCACTGTAGATCTCTGTAAAGAGTGATGTATTATACTTAATCCAGGGATTATGGGGCTTGTTAATCACATGTGGCTCCAATGCTCTCTTTTGCCCCTGGAGCTCCTCTCCACAATTTTTCAGGTATGTTAGGTAGTGGTAAGGCATCTTGAGGTATGCTGGATGGGCAATGTGGCTGTTTACTTCTCCCACACAATTCATGGCCCTTTAAGACGCTGAGGTCTTCTGGGAGGCAGCTACACAACTGGTCAAAACCCAACTCGCAACCATCATCCAGAGGACCTTTTCAGCAGCTGCCCCAAGACAGTGGAATGACCTGCTGGAATATATTCGACAGCTAAATGAGCTCTCAGAATTTAAAACACAACTGAAGACCCATCTCTTCCAGCAGGTCTACCCAGTCAATTTTGAACTATGAATTTTGCATTTGCATTCTACTGCTGCTGTATACCCTGTATTATGGTTTATTTGTCGTGTCAGGGCAACCAGTCAATTGTATTACATTTCTAACAGAACAAAACAAACAAACAGACAAAACACAAAATTTGCAAGTTTGGTAGTTGATTAAATGTCCTTTGACCAGTATCTGGCCACTTGGAGTGTCTCTGGTGTTGCTGCAAGAAGGTCCTCCATTGTGCATGTGGCAGGGATCAGGTTGCATTGCAGCAGGTGGTCAGTGGTTTCTCTTCTCCACACTCGCATGTCGTGGATTCCACTTTGTGGCCCCATTTCTTGAGGTTGGCTCTGCATCTTGTGGTGCCAGAGCGCAGTCTGTTCAGCGCCTTCCAAGTCGCCCAGTCTTCTGTGTGCCCAGGGGGGAGTCTCTCATTTGGTATCAGCCATTGGTTGAGGTTCTGGGTTTGAGCCTGCCACTTTTGGACTCTCGCTTGCTGAGGTGTTCCAGCAAGTGTCTCTGTAGATTTTAGAAAACCATTTCTAGATTTAAGTCATTGACGTGCTGGCTGATACCCAAACAGGGGAAGAGCTGGAGATGTCTCTGCCTTGGTCCTTTCACTATTGGCTGCTACTTCCCGGCAGATGTCAGGTGGTGCAATACCGGCTAAGCAGTGTAATTTCTCCAGTGGTGTAGGGCGCAGACACCCCGTGATAATGCGGCATGTCTCATTAAGAGCCACATCTACTGTTTTAGTGTGGTGAGATGTGTTCCACACTGGGCATGCATACTCAGCAGCAGAGTTGCATAACACAAGGGCAGATGTCTTCACTGTGTCTGGTTCACCTTACTGTAGCTCTTTGATGATAATTTCCCTACCTCTTGCTAAACTAGTCCATTTTTGTTTCCCACCACCACCCAGGGGTCTGCTTGGCTTACCATGAGAGCAGATTCGACAGCAAGGCTGTGGGGCCACCCAACTGGGATGGAAGTCGTGACTACGGGATTTTTCAGATAAACAGCCGCTATTGGTGTGACAATGGAGAGGGACAAACTGCGAATGGCTGCCACACCTCCTGCAGTGGTAAGCTCGCTATACAACCCACATCATCAACTATTAAATACTCTATCAGGGCCTGTGTAATTTCCCAAACAGGGTGGGTGAGTGATGTTTTCAAAGGAAGGTTGTGGTCCTCCATTTGAACCATTCTCCTATTGCCAACTTAGACATGTTACCTGTTTGTCCTCTTCAAGAAATAAATCCCCAATGTTTCCACAGTTACAGAAAAATCTATAATTTTGTCCTCATTTGTACTCCTCAAGACACCATCTCTCCACACACATAAAACCAAAGTCTCACTCACTCTAGCTTCATGTCCCACCTGCAGGGATACTGTGGGGCTGATATTTCAACTTGTTTACTTAGAATCATAGAATCAAAGAGTTGGAAGAGACCTCATGGGCCATCCAGTCCAACCCCCTGCTAAGAAGCAGGAATATTGCATTCAAATCACCCCTGACAGATGGCCATCCAGCCTCTGTTTAAAAGCTTCCAAAGAAGGAGCCTCCACCACACTCCGGGGCAGAGAGTTCCACTGCTGAACAGCTCTCACAGTCAGGAAGTTCTTCCTCATGTTCAGATGGAATCTCCTTTCTTGTAGTTTGAAGCCATTGTTCCGCGTCCTAGTCTCCAGGGAAGCAGAAAACAAGCTTGCTCCCTCCTCCCTGTGACTTCCTCTCACATATTTATACATGGCTATCATATGCTCTCTCAGCCTTCTCTTCTTCAGGCTAAACATGCCCAGCTCCTTAAGCCGCTCCTCATAGGGCTTGTTTTCCAGACCCTTTATCATTTTAGTCGCTCTCCTATGGACACACTCCAGCTTGGCGATCCCTCATAGCTCGAGGATGATGGTCCTCCAAGTACGGTGTCTTGGCGGTGGGTCTGATCCACATGTTCTCCCGCAGTGAGGACGTTGGTTTCCAAGTGGTAGTCCCAATAACGGTTGGCTTCACGCAGCTTCCTCTTGGCACGTTTCTTCCTTTCGCCCTTCATTCGTGCCTCTTTGAATTGATATTTCAGCACTACCCTACAAAGCTACTAAATCTTTGCATTTGAGTCCTCCCCAGTCTGGTATCCACCAGATATTTTGGATTATATCTCCCCAAACCCCTTATCCTTGGCCATTCTTCATCTTATCTACAGGTGTTCCGATCGATACTATCCCTAGGGGAGGGGTAATAACTGGTGAAAGAAGTCACGCAGTTTTGATGTAGTGTGCTGTCACTATTATTATTGTTGTTGTTGTTGTTGTTGTTACAATGGGATTTTGGCCAGCATCAATAGGACATAGTGTCTAGATCTAGGGAAGTAATGCTGCCCCTCTATTCTGCTTTGGTTAGACCACAACTGGAATATTGTGTCCAATTCTGAGCACCACAATTCAAGAGAGATATTGACAAGCTGGAATGTGTCCAAAGGAGGGCAACTAAAATGATCAAGGGTCTGGAGAACAAGCCCTATGAGGAGCGGCTTAAGGAGCTGGGCATGTTTAGCCTGAAGAAGAGAAGGATGAGAGGAGATTTGATAGCCATGTATAAATATGTGAGAGGAAATCACAAGGAGGAGGGAACAGGCTTTTTTTTTTTTTTGCTTCCATGGAGATTCGGACAAGGAACAATGGCTTCAAACTACAAGAAAGGAAATTCCATCTGAACATGAGGAAGAACTTCCTGACTGTGAGAGCCATTCAGCAGTGGAACTCTCTGCCTCAGAGTGTGGTGGAGGCTCCTTCTTTGGAAGCTTTTAAACAGAGGCTGGATGGCCATCTGTCAGGGGTGATTTGAATGCAATATTCCTGCTTCTTGGCAGGGGGTTGGACTGGATGGCCCATGAGGTCTCTTCCAACTCTTTGATTCTATGATTCTATGAAAGTGCCATCTTTGCACAAGGTGACTGGAAATGACTCAGTTATTGAATACGCGATAAGCTTTATTTGTCCCTTTTATGGCTTCAATCCATCATGGCTACCATAGGGTATAAGTCCACATGTTGAGTGATGGCTATGGTGATCCTTTTACCACTTCCCTATTCCTTTATGGGAGGATAGACCTAATAAAGTCCCCTTATCACATTATTATTCTCTGCCTGGTAGGAAGTGGCAACAGTAGCGTCCAGCTGTGTCCCTATAGGCAAAATCAAAGAGATTACCTAGCCACTTTGTTAAATGCGGAGGGCCAAAGTGAATACAAACGTTTAGGGTGATACAAAATATATGCATATGTATAGTAAATGTACACATGGGTTTGTCCCTAACAGACCATTGGCCATTAAATTAATTCATAGCTTTAATTTGCTTTACTATTTTGATTTGTTATATTATTGTGTTTTCTTTTTGGGGGAGTAGCTTTCACAACTGATGACATCACAAATGATATTACATGCGCAAAGAGAATTGTTAAAGATCCCAACGGAATAAGTGCCTGGTAAGTCCGTTTTGTTTCTTGGCCATTTGTCTTCTCACTTGGTCAGATTCAATTGCAGCCAAACCTTTTTTCTAAAAATCCTTTTGGCAAATCAGAATACGTAAGAAAAACCACAGACTTTGCCTTCCTTTGGTATAAAGATAAAGGTTTCCCCTGACATTGAGTCTAGTCGTGTCTGACTTTGGGTGTTGATGCTCATTTCCATTTCTAAGCCAAAGAGCCGGTGTTGTCTGTAGACACCTCCTAGGTCATGTGGCCAGCATGACTGCATGGAGGGCCGTTACCTTCCCGCTGGAGCAGTACCTATTGATATACTCACATTTGCATATGGCATGTAGGTTGGCAGAAGTCCTTAAGTATAGGTGATAGCTAAAGACATTTCCTCAACTAGGACACGTGGTTAAATGGTACTTCCTTGCAGCTGAGTGATGGATTTAAGACTATCTATATAAACAAAAATGTAATGTTTGTTTGTGGGAACATTACATTTTTAACACTTGGCGAATTGACACCAAATTTGGACACAAGACACCTATCAGGCCAACAAGTGACCATCACTCATAAAAACACTGAAAAGCACAGCAGAAGAGACTTAGAAAGCAAAAAAAAAAAACCCAAAAGTACATTACAATGCATGCACAAAACCACATATGTATACGCAAACACACAAACACATATATATATACAAATATATACAAATATATACACACACAAAACTCATCTACACAGTCTGGGCCACAGCAACACATGGCAGGGGACAGCTGATATATATATATATATATATATATATATATAGTTATAGTTATAGTTATAGTTATAGTTATAGTTATAGTTATAGCACTTTGGTATCACTGTAATGGCTATCGCTTGTCCCTGTGAAGTAATGAGATTGATAATTCTAAGGTGTTTAGAGTTATTTCCCTGTGGGCACCACTGCTTCCCCATATCAACTCTGAATTTTAAGAGTTTTCTTTGTGTTATTATACAGCAATGCCCTTACTGAGGGTGCACCAGTGGAGGGGGCACATTAAAGACATTGTTCCCATAACGATTCTGCCCTCCATGAAAATGTTCTTCACTCCGCAAATGGATAGCCTTGCAATATCTTTAAACTTCACGTTCATGCATTTATTTAAAAAAGTATGCTGACCAAAAGATCAGCGGTTTGAATCTGGGGAGTGGGGTGAGCTCCTGCTGTTAGCCCCAGCTTCTACCAACCTAGCAGTCTGAAAACATAATAATAATAATAATAATAATAATAATAATAATAATAATACTTTATTTGTACCCCGCTACCATCTCCCCAAGGGACTCGGTGCGGCTTACATGAGGCCGAGCCCAAATACAATAATACAAGCAATAACAACAACAACAACAACAACAACAGCAATGCAAATATGAGTACATCAATATGTAATGCTCTGGCGGGAAGGTAACGGCACCGCATGCAGTCATGCCAGCCACATGACTTTAGAGGTGTCTATGGAGAACGCTGGCTCTTCAGCTTAGAAATGGAGATGAGCACCAGCCCCCAGAGATGGACTCGACTAGACTTAATGTTAAGGAGAAACCATTACCTTATAGATATCCAAAGAAAAAAGGTGCAGGCAACATGACCAGTGGATCGTGAGCACAGAAAATGGATGAGTTCTTGCATGAATTATATTCAATGTCTCGCTCTGTGTAATGTTAGAAATTTGGAGACATTCAAGGAAGGGGTGTATTAGGGGAGCAATTCCCTTATTTTGTTACCTCTCCCCATCCCCATACCGATGGGGATATCAGTGGCCCTCACTTGTAGTTGTCAAAGGAACCTTTGTCTCTAAAATGCTCTCGTTCTGTCTTTTAGGGTCGCTTGGGTGAACTACTGCCAAGGAAGAGACCTCTCTGGCTGGACAAAAGACTGTAGCCTCTGAAGCTGATGATACTAAATGATATTCAGCATCTCCCTTGATTCTTCTTTTGAGGAAAGCAATTCCTCTCCCTGTGCAATCCGCTTTCTGCTAATTCTTTCTCCGCAGGTGGCTTCCCGCACAATAGAGGGATTCCCTTTCTCTGCTTATATTATGAGGCCAGATCAGATATTAAACATGTTGAGGCCGGTCTTTTTGCTCAAAATTCTTCAATAAACTGAACTCATATCAATTCTTATATTCTGGTTTCAAAGGTTTTTGACCGCCATCTATTGCCTGTTTTAGACATTGACACGAACCTGTCAGCAACAACATGTACAGCAAATGCTGCTCTTACTAATGGTTTTCTTTTCAATTTCAGAAATATTTCTCTTCTGATTTTGGGTCTAAAAGCTAAGTTGGGTTCGTAGACCATACTCAGTTGAAATAAAAACTTTCAAAAATTTTCAAAACTTTCAAAATTTTCATTATTATTTCATTCTTGATTATTTTTATGACAGAACCAATTAGGAACTGCCATTTATAATGAAATTTTGAAAGTTTTGTTAGAATTCTGAAATTTCCACCACCAGAACTTTAGCAACACTGTAGAAGCAAAGCACCATCGCCCCCTAGTTTTCACCACCAGAACTTTAGTTTTGTAAATACTTTAGAACCATTTAGAACCATGGATTGCATATGCCTAATAAGTACTCTAAAGACACACAGTGCTGTCTGATGTTGAAAGGTAAGCAGGGCCGACACTGGTTAGCAATTGGGCGGGATACCACCAACAAATACCAGGCACTAGGATGGATTACAGAAGAAAGGAACCAGCAAAACCACCTCCAAGTATAATTTGCCTTTTAAAAATAACCCTATAAACTTCATGAAGTTGCCATGAGTCAACAAGCGCTCTGAAGGTGCAAACATACAGGCTAATAAATGCATTATTAAATTCACCAGATGGATTTCCCTTTGGAAGATACAAGTATTTTCTTAATGGATTGAACTGTTTTCAGAAATGCTTAAAGGGAAGATAGTGGCAGAACTTTTTAAAAGCTATAACTGGCTTTTTACTGTAGCATGCTTTCTCAGATATTAATTCACATCTTCAGATGCAGTCCAGAGCAGAATCATGTTTGTGGATGTGGAACAGAAAGTATGAGAACCCAGAAATATGTCCTTTTTTAAAAAAAAGACTGTGTAGGTCAATACAGGTCTCACTATACATCGAAGTCAAATGATGACAACAACAACAACAAAAAGTAAATCAGGATGTGGGTCCATTATTTTAGAAAGAATTTTTCCTGTGACTATTCCACAATTGTGGAATATTCTCACATGCAAGTACGCCCGAGGCTGACATTTATGGAGGGAGAAATTTAAATAATACAACTAGAACAAGATCCCATCTACATTATTTTCAACAGTTATACTTCCTCACCATTTAAGGCAGTTGTAGAAAAAAACACAGAGTCCGAATTCTGGGTGAAACGGGCCCCTGCACAAACATTTCCAGTTTCCCTAAATAGGGAGTTGCAGGTAAGGAATTATCACCATCTACCCAGCATGTACACACACCAAGCAAACAAGCAGTTTTGTATCGTTTATTTTTTTTTAAAAAAAGATCACATTTCCACATATAAATGACTGATCTAGTGGAAGATGGAAAACATTCAAGTCATGGGTAACGGGAATGAGCTGTGCTGCTGAAAGCGTTCAGTAGCAAATGGGAAACACATTTGAAGGGATCTAAAAAGACAATCCAAGTATGTTATGGATGGCTAAATAAATACCTAGACCGCACCATTATCTACCCATCCTTCACAGATCCAAGAGAGTAGAACTCAGCCATCCAGATTCTATATGTCCTTTCCTCATTTCATCTGAACAGTGTTCATTGCCAAAGAGTATCTGCTGGGTCTGCCCCAAGCATGGACTGATCACTTTGCTGGAGTAAGATCATAAACTGCAAGACAACCATCTGAACCTCCATTGCCGAGAGTAATGAACAGCTGGTGTCCTTCTAGCTTGAGTTCCTTTTAATTTGTGACCAGGATAAATGCAGAAAACCTTCCATGAAACTTCCAATATCACTGATCTAAGGCAGCAGTGCTATGAGATAAGATTCATGTGCTCCCTTTTAGTTTTGAGACAATTTAGGCATTTGCAACCATTGTTCTAAATGTTTCTAAAGTACTTACAAAGTTCTGGTGGTGAAAACTAGGGGGCGCTGGTGCTTTGTTTCAACAGTGCTGCTAAAGTTCCGGTGGTGAAACTTTCAGAACTCTAACACGACTTTCAAAATTTCATTAAAAATGACAGTTCCTAATAGGTTCTGTCATAAAAATCAGCAATAATGAAATAATAATGAAATTTTGAAAGTTTTGTAAGAGTTCTAACATTTTCACCACCAGAACTTTAGCAACACTGTAGAAGCAAAGCACCAGCGCCCCCTAGTTTTCACCACCAGAACTTTAGTTTTGTAAGTACTTTAGAACCATTTAGAACCATAGTTGCACATGCCTAAGAGACGTGGCTTTAAAACTAGGAGGGAAACAGAGCTTCATATGCATCCTCCAGAACACCAAGTTTGAGCCCAAGTGGCACAAAAAGGCATCCTTATTATATGTTTATTTACTTAGAAATAAAACCACATACTTCAGGATGTTTACTCCCCAGTAGCTCCTGTTAGGGCTGCACTCTTGGAGAGGGGGACAATGGACAGTTAACATTCACTATTTTCTGTGTGGGATAGAGCTAATAAGCATCTTCAGACCCACAACTGCTAAAGGGCTACACATTACCTACTATGACTTAAAATATTTTGTTCACAGTTTCTGGAGCTAAGGCTCCAAGAATCATTTTGGGTTGTTTTAGCAAACCAAAATAAACACATCTGATCAACCCACAATGTAATATGGACATGTATTGTAACTGAATGACATCTAGAGCCACAGTTGCCCATCCCTACTTTGGGGCTACATGTTAAGGCAGCAGTGGGGAAAAACTGCCATAGATGGTGCTGTTCCTCAGAACTGGTTCTAGTTATATCTTGGCATAGGACCTTTGAGGGGTTTAAGGAATGAGAGGAGACAAACCTAGACATGGAGCTGGAAACAGCTAACCAACCCACTGAATGAATATAATACTGCCCAAAAGGAACAATACTCCATATCCCGATCCTGCAAGAAGCAGCGTGATCAGTGTTTCTTGAACTTTCCAGCATCCATTATCCTCTGGGAAGCGCTAAGGTGTTTCCAAGCATCCAAAATGAGAACAGAGGGGATGATGATCCAGAGTGCATTCATGAAGACAAAATAAAACCAGAAATAAATCGGGTGCCACATTTCGCTGTGTCGGAAACCATCCCGGTACTCAGTGTAGAAATAGAGAACATCTCCATACAGCTGGCCTATGAGACAAAGAGTAAAAAAAAGAGTTGCCAGAAATGCATGGGGCATGTAATCACATGTTAAAATATTATACTCAATCAGGCTAGAGTTTAAAAATCCAATGTTTTGATAGGCTCACAGGCCCCTTCTACACTACCATATAAAATCCAAAATCATTTAAGTAGAATAAAAAAGGTTAGATCAAAACAGCTCAGAATTAGTCTACAGCAAGGAAGAACAGTGATGAGATGTGCGTTGGTGAGGGGGAGGAAGTGACAGTAAGTATAATTTTTTTTCATGTCAGGAGTGTTCTGTTGTGAGAGAATTGGCCGTCTGCAAGGATGTTGCCCAGGGGACGCCCGGATGATTTTGATGTTTTATCATCCTTGTGGGAGGCTTCTCTCATGTTCACGCATGAGGAGCTGGAGCTGATAGAGGGAGCTCATCCGCCTCTCCCCGGATTCGAACCTGCGACCTGTAGGTCTTCAGTCCTGCCGGCACAGGGCTTTAACCCAGTGCGCCACCGGGGAATCCAGTATAAAAATGTTTTCAAAAGACTTTGTGAGCACATGTGAGAAGGTATCCTTACTGTTAAGCCTAAAACATGCACACCATAGGCTCTCTTCCTATTAAAAAAATCTGTAGTACAAACACCTTTTAATTGCTATCATATAAGTACAAGAATATGTTAATAAAAACAACCCACAAAGTTAATAAAAGTTATTTAGGGGATTACAGCCCACAGGAAGTGTGGCTAGTTCCATCCACTGAGTTTTTATGCCGCACAGAATTAATAGGGAAGACCTCACTCTATCCTCAATGCATTGAAACATCAAATATAGACACGTAGTAAATTATGGATTGGATTTTTTTACAATTTGTAAGACTCAATGAGAAGTTTTAGCATTTAAAACGAGTGTGAAGTATGGAGCGCAAGCCATTCCTGCTTCCCATCCCTCTTGTTTTACACCACAGTTCACAAAGTTGCTTTGAAAGAACAGCAGGCAAGCAAGCATTCAGGGTATGAGAGAAATATGGGAAGATGTGAAAAAAACAGTTTGCTTGAGAGGGAAACAAATATGGGGGAAAGAAACGGAGAAATGTCAGCAAGGAGCAAGAAAAAAATTCAAAATGGGAGAAAACAAGAGTAAAAACAAAGAACTGCTGGAAATACATGGGGCATATAATCACATGTTAAAATATTATACTCTATCAGGCTACAGTTTAAAAATCCAATGTTTTGATAGGCTCACAGGCCCGTCTACATTGCCATATAAAATCCAGATTATCTGCTTTGAACTGGATTATATGGTTTGTTTTTGTTGTTGTTTTTGTCGTATCAGGAGTGACTTGAGAAACTGCAAGTCACTTCTGGTGTGAGAGAATTGGCCGTCTGCAAGGACGTTGCCCAGGGGATGCCCAGATGATTTTTTAAATTATGTTTTATCATCCTCGTGGGAGGCTTCTCTCATGTCCCCGCATGAGCAGCTGGAGCTGATAGAGGGAGCTCATCCGCGCTCTCGCCGGATTCGAACCTGCGACCTGTTAGTCTTCAGTCCTGCCGGCATAGGGGTTTAACTCACTGTGCCACCGGGGGCTCTGTGGCTCAGGGCAGGATCGCTCAAGAGGCAGAAGGATCTGCTGAGGCCGAAGCTGGAGGGCTTCCTTGATTATATGGTAGTGTAGACTCATATAATCCAGGTCAAAGCAGATAAGGTAGATTATCTGCTTTGGCAATCTGAATTATATGACAGTGTAGAAGGGACCTCAGTCTCCAGATGAGTCTGGCAAGTTGGAAGATGCAAGTAATACTCCATATACTGACCTAAAGACACCACCAGTTGCAGCACAAATCGGTACGGTTGGCGTGAAAGAAAAGCCAGCACGGTCCAAAGACTGAGAGGGCCCCAGGCAAAAGCTGTGATCGTCTCCATGCAAACTGTGAAGTTGTCGGCTCTGGAGACACAAAAATGTGAGACAGAAGTCACTTTGGAGTTCCAAAACACTTCAAATGCTTCTAGGATGTGCAAATCTTATTTTCAACTTCAACTCCTCAAATTACTTAGAAATACAGTAGTAAATTAAATGAATTTCCTTTCTAGGATGTGGAAATGTTATTTCTGGACTATAACTCCTCAGTTCCCCCAGCTAGCATAACCGCTCTCCATTCTCTTGGATGTAGGGAGATGCTGTCCAAAAATAACTTTTTCAAGCACTGTATCTGATCTCACTCTTTTTAATCTCTCCTTCGTACATATAATACCTCAGGGTAAAAAAGTGCCTTTAATGGAAGTTCATACTACAACAAATATGTAGTCTTTAAAGTGACAAAAGTCACCCTTGTTTTTGCCATAATGGAGTAACACAATTATCCCTCTGGAAACTGGTAACACAATCACTGCTAAGCAACAGCTGCCTCTCATCCTTTCAATATCCAATCAGTAAAATCAGAACGATCAAGTAGCAATAAAGAATTTCTAAGTTCGCCTCAGGCTAATGAATATTCTTCAATCCATACTGCATATATACTAATTATACGATAATCAACAGAGTGCCTATTCAGATGACAGGCTGGGAGGAAACACAAGCAAGGTTTCTTTAAGGGCCTCACCCACCAGCAGGTTTGATTCAATTGAAAATAAATCTATTCATTTATTGTTGCTCTCTTCGTTTAATGTTTGCCAAGTTTTAATCCTTATACAATTCGCAAGGCAGCTTTCAAAGATCTAAAAATCATGTTTTTCAGATCAATGTAAATCAAGATTCAAATTGCTTCTTTGAAAGGCAAGGTCATATGGCAATGAAGCATCACAGACAGCTGTCGACTTCACTCTCACAAAGCAACACACACTTTCTGCAACAGTATTAAGAGTACAAAGTACATCAAGAGCTGGGTTGCTGTGAATTTTCTGGGCTGTGTGGTTATGTTCCAGAAGCATTCTCTCCTGATGTTTTGCCCACATCTATGGCAGGCATCCTCAGAGGTTGTGAGGTCTGTTAGAAACTAGGCAAGTGAGGTTTATATATCTGTGGAATGTCCAGGGTGGGAGAAGGAACTCTTGTCTGCTTGAGGCAAGTGTGAATGTTGCAACTGGCCACCTTGATTAGCATTAAATAGCCTTGAATCAAGCTGACCAATGGCAACATCACACTTGCCTCAAGCAGACAACATTTATTTCTCCCACCCTGGACATTCCACAGATATATAAACCTCACTTGCCTAGATTCCAACAGACCCCTCAACCTCTGAAGATGCCTGCCATAGATGTGGGTGAAGTGTCAGGAGAGAATGCTTCTGGAACATGGTCATACAGCCCAGAAAACTCACAGCAACCATGAAAGCCTACACATCAACACACCAAGAGCTGTTCTTTTCATGTTTCTGGTTGTCAAGGGTACTAATGCAGATTCTCAAGATTTTGAGTCATAGTAATCCAGACTCTTAGGATCATCAATTATCTTGGGAAACCATAAAACAACAGGTAAATTAATTGTAGATATTATTAAAGTTCAGTAACACATTTAACATTCCCTTTAATGTTTCTTGCTCCATCTTTTGCTGAAAGAATATTCAAAGCTAGCTTGAGAAGTAAAATCTCTTCCATCGTGTGGCAAAGATAAAACCCTCACCCACCACTTAACACTTACATGACGTATCTGCTGTCACCTTTTGCATACTCTTTCCCTGCAATATAAGAGAAGAAAATAAGGTGAAACATTAGATGCCATCAACAGTGATACAAAAGTCTTCAGGAATTGAAGAACTGGGAATCTCAGTAGGTTGTGAATCCACATTATCTCCTTTGAACTGGATTATATGAGTCTACACTGCCATACAATGCAATTCAAAGCGGATTTTATATGGCAGTGCAGATGGAGTCAAAGAGATGAAGGAACTAGCAGTACAAGGAGCATTTGAGGGACAGACTGTGCAGACATGAGGTTAGTATGGGATGCTGATGCCATTACTGCTCAAGCAGGGAGCTTTGAGAAGGTTGAACAGAAGCTTTCCGAAGCTCTAGGTGCTCTCACTGCCTGTTACAGGGAAAACTAGCTGATTCCTAATCCATCTAAAACACAGATATGTGATTTTCATCTTAAGAACAGACAAGCATCCCGAGCTCTGAGCATTACCTGGGAAGGAATCCCACTGGAGCATTGCAGCGCACCCAAATACCTGGGAGTTACTCTGGACCGTGCTCTGACCTACAAGAATCACTGCCTGAATATCAAGCAAAAAGTGGGTGCTAGAAACAATATCATACAAAAGCTGACTGGCACAACCTGGGGATCACAACCAGACACAGAGAAGACATCTGCCCTTGCGCTCTGCTACTCTGCTGCTGAGTACGCATGCCCAGTGTGGAATACATTTCTCCACGCTAAAGCGGTAGATGTGGCTCTTAATGAGACATGCCGCATTATCACGGGGTGTCTGCGCCCTACACCACTGGAGAAATTACACTGCTCAGCCGGTATTGCACCACCTGACATCCGCCGAGAAGTAGCAGCCAATAGTGAACGGATCAAGACAGTGACATCTCCAGCTCATCCCGTTTGGGTATCAGCAAGCACGTCAATGACTTAAATCAAGAAAGATCCACAGAGACACTTGCTGGAACACCCCAGCAAGCAAGAGTCTAAAAGTGGCAGGCTCAAACCCAGAGCCTCAACCAATGGCTGATACCAAATGAGAGACTCCCTCCTGGGCACACAGAAAACTGGACAACTTGGAAGGCGCTGAACAGACTGCGCTCTGGCACCACAAGATGTAGAGCCAACCTCAAGAAATGGGGCTACAAAGTGGAATCCACGACATGCGAGTGTGGAGAAGAGCAAACTACAGACCATCTGCTGCAATGCAACCTGAGCCCTGCCACATGCACAATGGAGGACCTTCTTGCAGCGACACCAGAGGCACTCCAAGTGGCCAGCTACTGGTCAAAGGACATTTAATCAACTACCAAGCTTGCAAACTTTGTGTTTTGTTTGTTTGTTTGTTAAAAATGCAACACAACTGTTTGGTTTGCTCCTGACACGATAAATAGTTTGGAAGCAGGTGGGACAGCTGTTAAAGGATTGTGTTACCCATACATTTAATGTTCCAATGCATAACCTGTACTTAGAACAAGAAACTACCTTCAGGACAGAATATCAAGGCAGAAGATCCCACATTATCTGAGTGTGGACTCAGATAATCCAGTTCAAAGCAGATATTCGGGGTATAGGGCTGTGTGGAAGGGCCCAGAGAAACAGAATCCAATTGGCAAGAGGGGCCAAGCAAGGCTGCATTTTATCCCACAATCTGCTTAACTTGTATGCTGGATGTATCACTGGTAAAAGCAGGATGAGATTTGGAGGGAGAAGACATAAACATTAGAGGAAGGAACATTGGCACTTTAATATATGCAGATGACACACCATACTACTAACAGACAATAGCAAAGGCTTGGAACAATTACTGAAGACTCCTGAAAGAAAGTGCAAAGAGGAGGTTTACAGTTGAATATTAGAAAACAAAAAGCATCACATTGAAATAACTTTAAAGCAGACAACGAAGATACTGAAATACTTCAAGGTTTTCCATTCTTTGACTGCCATTTATTAATTAAATGCAATCAATAAATCAGGGCTTGGAAGGGCAGCTGTGAAGAAAAGACCCAGAAGTGTAAAGACAGATAACTGGATGCTAAAGGTGGGATTTTTTTTTTTGTCGTGTCAGGAGCGATTTGAGAAACTGCAAGTCGCTTCTGGTGTGAGAAAATTGGCCGTCTGCAAGGACGTTGCCCAGGGGACGCCCGGATGAATTGATATTTTTATCATCCTTGTGGGAGGCTTCTCTCATGTCCCCGCATGAGGAGCTGGAGCTGATAGAGGGAGCTCATCCGCCTCTTCCTGGATTCAAACCTGCGACCTGTCGCTCTTCAGTCCTGCCGGCACAGGGGTTTAACCCACTGCACCACCGGGGGATTATCTATGCTGTACTTGGGCTATATCACGAGAAGGTATCAGCCCAAAATTGATGGTAAAAAATAGAATATCAGAGGAAGTATCTGTGTATGGCAAAATGATAGTATTATTTTTGTTCATTCATTTGGACTGCCTTACAAAAATATCTGTTCTGAGTATTCCTTAACTACCTTATAACAGTCATGAGTTGGAATGAGTCAACAAGCAACTTGAACACACATGAATGTACGTATGCACACAAATTTACATGTCCACTTTATATGGTTCCCTCTCTCCCTTTTAATCTCTATAGCAAATCTAACATATTTATTTATTTATTTATTTATTATATTTGTATACCGCTTTTCTCAGCCCTCGGGCAACTCAAAGCGGTTAACAATAGCAAAATTCAATGCTCAGAACAACATAAAACAGTTAAAAACAATTAAAACAGTAGCATATTAAACAATCCATTATACATCAATAAACATCTTGTTAGCGTCTCATAATTAGAATCAGGATCCAGTTTCATCATCCAATTGTTCCATATTCCTATATTCTTTACATTGCCTATTCAAACGCCTGTTCGAACAACCAGGTCTTCACTTTCCTCCAGAATGATAACAAGGAGGGGGCCGATCTAGTATCAGTAGGAAGGGCGTTCCACAGCTGAGGGCCCACCAATGAGATGGCCCTGTCTCTCGTCCCTGCCAGACATACTTGTGATGCAGGCAGGACCGAGAGCAGGGCCTCCCCAGACAATCTTAATGTCCTAGTGAAAGGGTCTTTGAGTGAAATTTGCAAATGCTAAGCAAGTGGCTTTGAATGAAATTAACAGCAAAAGAGAAACATACCCTTTCTCTGTAGAAAAGGAGCAACAGGGAAGAAAATGTTTTTAAGAAACAAGATGTGACATGTAGAGGTCGGAAGTTGTGTTGTGGTTAAGTTCAAAGGTTGTGGTTAAGTGCAGACTCTGCAGGTACAAGAAGGTACTTTCCATCAAAAGGTCAAGGGAGAGGGGCTGGAAAGAGAGTACTTTCCATGACCTATTACTTGAGTATAAAAGTCAGCAGAAAAAGAGGAGGGGTGCGGCAGTCACTTGAAGGGTAGCATCTGCGTATGCTGCCAGGCTGTCCGTCTTCTTCATGAAGAAACTAAAATAAACCTTGTTTTTTGATCTTTTTTGGGACTGTCTCCTTCCTTATGTGTTCCCGTGATGCAGACCTAAGAAAACCCAATTTAGGGTCTCTAACACTAGTGGGTTCATAGGTTTGTGGAAAGGTAGTCCTGATCCATACTCCCATGGTTATTCTATTACTAAATCCTTAACTACAGTGGCCAGGTAATGCAGCTCAAAGCTTGCATCAAACTGCAATGGCGAGGCAACAAACATCTACAAAAACATATGAAAGAAATCCCTTAATGTGCATCAGTACTCTGTGGTTTCTGTAATCTCCATCTGGGCCTCAAACTGGTTATAGGATTTCCTAAATAATCATCTGAGAAACAGCTTACTTCAATACCCGTTGGAAGCTGTATTAAATGGTCAGTGTAGTGGAAATTTAAACTTAGGTCTCCCTGCTCCAAATCCATCGCTTTAAATGTTACTTGACATCAGAAACATTACTCTCCCAGATAACTTCTAACTGAAAAAAGAATACAATTTGAAGAACAGCAAAAGGAAAGAAATGTGCCTGATCTGCAACATTAGGTAATTAGAATAATTTGCTAATATGCAATGAGGCAACAGATTTGAGGGAATAGGCGGAGGCAACCTTAGAGAAAAGGAAATGTAAACATGCAAGTTGCATAAATGTTGAACATGTTGGTGCAATGAAGACTGTGGAAAGTGGTTCTGGCAGAGGAACTAGAAACTGGCCCCAACTAAGTGGAAGGTGTAGCCCAGGGAGCTGCTGTCCCCAATCACAGCCCTGTCTACCACACTATCCCAGAGCTGAGGATAAAAGGCACAGATTGGGCATGCAAGCACACATCCAACCACATCTTACATAGCTGGGAGAGGAAGGACTGGTCTCCAGGGATTTCCATGTGGTAGAGGCTAAACCAGCCCTCAATGACACCGTGAATGAAGCCGCAGATGGCAAACCAGCAGACCGCCAAGGAGCGCCAAGTTCCCAAAGGGGAGGCTTTCCGGCTGCGCCAGCCGGCCACCGACCAAGTCACTATCAGGAGGAGCCCTGAGATGGAGAAGAGGAAAGCCAAGATCTGCCACATGGGACGGTCATTCGGGATGTAATGCGGGAGCTTCAGATTTCGAGGCCAGTAAGGGTGGGCGACCACATGGGGCTTTGTTTCCAGTCCCATGGTGTCCAAAGACAAAGCCAAGGAGGGCGTCAAAGACTGGCAAGTGCAATTTCTCCTGAGGAAAAAAAAGAAACAAAAGAAACATGTTATTTATGGCTCTGATTCATTTATCCCATCTTTCTCTTGCCTACAGACCCAGGGCCCTTCTACATTGCCATAAAAATCCAGATTATCTGCTTTGAACTGGATTATATGCCAGTGTAGACACATACGATTAGAAGGCTCCTCAGCTCCTCCTCACTTTCGGTCATCAAAGTGGTATAATCTGCATATCTAAGGTTGTTAATGTTTCTTCCAGCAATTTTCACCCCAGCCTTGGATTTGTCAAGCCCCGCACATCGCATGATGTGTTCTGCATACAAGTTGAATAGGTTGGGTGAGAGGATACAACCCTGCCGTACGCCTTTCCCAATCTTGAACCAGTCAGTTGTCCCATGGTCAGAACTTTGTCATTATACAGATTCCTCAGGAACTAGTAAAGGGTAAAGGTTTTCCCCTGACATTAAGTCCAGTTGTGTCCAACTCTGGGGTGTGGTGCTCATTTCCATTTCTAAGCCAAAGAGCCGGCGTTGTCCGTAGACACCTCCAAGGTCATGTGGCCGGCATGCAAAGGCAGCCCTAGGTAATTTTCAACGGTAAGCAAACAGTTTTTTGGTGCCCCCCCCCCCACCAATCACTGATATATATTTTCTGTTAGTCGTGGGAGTTCTGTGTGCCATATTTGGTTCAATTCCATCATTGGTGGAGTTCAGAATGCTCTTTGATTGTGGGTGAACTATACATCCCAGTAACTACAACTTGCATATGTCAAGGTCTATTTCCCCCCAAGAGCACCTCAAGAGCGCCCCTGGGCAAAATCAACTGCACTGCAAATGCTTACTTTGTGTAATGGGTTGAGCCGCCCCTGCCAGCATGACTGCATGGAGCAGTACCTATTGATCTACTCACATTTGCATGTTTTCAAACTGCTAGGTTGGCAGAAGCTGGGGCTGACAGCGGACGCTCACGCCGCTCCTCGGATTCGAATCTGTGACCTTTCAGTCAACAAGCTCAGCAGATCAGCGCTTTAACCCACTGCGCCACCGGGGACTCAGTGGGTTACTATGCTGCCATATAATCTATCAAATCAGATAATTCACATTATCTGCTTTGAACTGGAGTATATGAGTCTACCATGCCATATAATCCAGTTTAAAGCACATAATCTGTATTTTACATGACATTGTAGATCCAGCCTGATCTGGATCTGCATCTCTATGGGTTACAGACCTAACAAACAATCTGCCACAAAACAAAAAATAAGCCTAGGGCGAAGCATGTATAGAGTGAATTGCCCACCAGCATAATCTGCAATCATGAACCCAAGCATACTAACTACTTCCATTAATTTGCAACGTTTAATTCTATTTTCCGCCCTTTCCCAAGCCCTACCTGCACAGCCTGTCCTCCAACGCGTCCGCAGTGACTTCTCTCCCGCGCCAAGCTCACCTGTTCACTAAAGCTCACCGGTGCTGCCAATGGAGGGCTCGCTGGGGAAGGAAACGGGCAGGCGTTTTCTCCAATCAGCGCTCCTCAAGTCGGGGGCGGGGCGCCGGCCTGGGCTTCCACCATCCCTCTTCTTTGAACTTGGAACTCCAGCTCTGACGTCACGGGGCGTTCCGCAAAAGCGATTGGCTGCGACGCGCTGGGGCGATATGGGTTCATATGTTGATTTGGACGACTTCCTTCCGCGTGGAGCTGATAAGGGTTGCATCTAGTGTGCAGAATTCCTGTACTTTGATTTTGGCACCACTTTAACTGCCTTGGCTGATGGCTATGGAATCCTGGGAACTGTAGTTTAGTGAGGCAGCAGTACTCTTGGGCAGAGAAGGTTAAAGGTCTTGTAAAACTACAACTACACTAAAACTAAACTACAACTACAAAGCCATGGTATTCCCTGTAGTAACCTACGGATGTGAGAGCTGGACCTTAGAGAAGGCTGAGCGAAGGAAGATCGATGCTTTTGAACTGTGGTGTTGGAGGAAAGTTCTGAGAGTGCCTTGGACTGCGAGAAGATCCAACCAGTTCATCCTCCAGGAAATAAAGCCCGACTGCTCACTGGAGGGAAGGATACTAGAGACAAAGTTGAAGTACTTTGGCCACATCATGAGGAGACAGGAAAGCCTAGAAAAGACAATTATGCTGGGGAAAGTGGAAGGCAAAAGGAAGAGGGGCCGACCAAGGGCAAGATGGATGGATGGCATCCTTGAAGTGACTGGACTGACCTTGAAGGAGCTGGGGGTGGTGACGGCCGACAGGGAGCTCTGGCGTGGGCTGGTCCATGAGGTCACGAAGAGTCGGAGACGACTGAACGAATGAACAACAACAACAAAACTACAACTCCCAGGATCCCATAACATACCTAAGTATATTTGGATACTCTGTCTTCTAGTGAGATCAAAGCATAATATCGCTTCCTCGCACCCCTACAACCCCCTCCCCCCTGTTAAGTAGATCAGGCTATTTTTTATTTATTTATCGTGTCAGGAGCAAACCAAACAGTTGTATTGCATTTTTTAACAAGCAAACAAACAAAACACAAAGTTTGCAAGCTTGGTAGTTGATGAAATGTCCTTTAGGTCAGGCTGAGAGGCCATAACTAGTCTGAAGTTAGGGAAATAAACTGGTTTGTTTCCCCCATCTACATATATAAAAATGCTCTGGTCATAATGAGTATCTTAAAAACAAAAGAACTAATGAACGAAATCGCATCAAATTTGGCAACAAAACGTCTCACAACACAAGGAGTGACCATCACCCATTTTGTTATTTGGGAGTTGTAGTTGCTGGGATTTATAGTTCACCTACAATCAAAAAAGCATTCTGAACTCCATCAACGATGGAATTGAACCAAACTTGGCATACAGAACTCCCATGACCAACAGAATATACTGGTAGGGTTTGGTGGGCACTGACCTTGAGTTTTGGAGTTGTAGTTCACCTACATCCAGAGAGCACTGTGGACTCAAACAATGATGGATCTGGACCAAACTTGGCATAAGCACTCAATACACCCAAATATGAACACAGATGGTGTTTGGGGGAAATAGACCTTGACATTTGGGAGTTGTCACTGGGATTTACAGTTCACATACAATCAAAGAGCATTCTGAATCCCACGAACGACAGAATCGGGGCAAACTTCCCACACTGAACCCTTGTGACCAACAGAAAATACTTAAGGCCATCCAATCCAACTCCCTTCATCAGGGCAAGAAAACATAATCAAAGCCCTCCTGACAAAGAGCCATCCAGCCATCAATATAGATAGATAAATAGATAGATAGATAGATATTATTCACACACACACAGAGATATAGTATCATAGATTTGAAAGGGACCCTTAAAGAAGGACAATGATATGTAGCATGTTCCAGGGTGGGCAAACCAAACACTCTCCACATCAACACTGGTAAAGAAACAGCAAGAAATACTGTTTATCTACAAGCATAAAGAAATTACATATATTAGAAACGAACACTTTCTCATTACTTTATTTTCCAGATCAACAGACTGGGCCACAGCAACGCGTGGCAGGGGACAGCTAGTTGGTTATACGAGATCCAGTTCTTTCATAGCTGCTGTTCCAAGTCCCAAGAGGGATCCATACTGTAAAATTACATCTGCATCTTTACTCAATGATTTGGAATCGTGGGAGTTGTGGTTCTGCAAGGTCTTTAGCCTTCTCTGCCAAAGTTCTGGAGTCTTACTAATCTACAAATCCCTAGTTCTGAGATCGGAGGTGACCCCTCCCCCCCTCCCCCAGGACTCTGTAAAAGATGGTTCAAAATCAGGGAATTCATAGTTTTGCCAAGGACACCAGGTTGGAAAGATCCCATAATCCCCTATCCAGGCACGTAGCCGGGGGGGGGGGGGGACGGGATGGGGACGGGACGACTTCAGGGGCTACAGCCCGCCCCCCACCCCCGAAATTCTCAGGGTGCTCCGCGAGAAGGCCTTACTGGTACATTAAACTGTTATGTTTATTCATATCATTATCTGATCACCATCTATATAAATAAAAATGTAATGTTCGTTTGTGGGATTAACAGAACTCAAAAACTACTGGGCAAATTGACACCAAGTTTGGACACAAGACACCTAACAACCCAATGTATGTCCTTCACACAAAAAAAATTGATTTTGTCATTTGGGAGTTTTAGTTTCTGGGATTTATAGGTCACCTACAATCACAGAGTATTCTGAACCCCACCAGCGATAGACTTGGGCCAAACCTCCCACACAGAACCCACATGTGGACCACAGCAAAGCATGGCAGGGAACGGCTAGTGATAAATATATCCCATATGCATGTGGGTATTGGGATAACGATACAAAAGGTTTGCTAGGGTAGATCCTCAGCCCCCCTTCCCGAAATCAAACTAAGCCCCCCCGAATCAAACTCACCCCCCCTCGAATCAACATCCTGGCTACGGGCCTGCCCCTATCCCTCCCCCATATGGGAACCTAAGGCCTTTTCCATGGCCCCATGGCCCAACTCTTATAGACTTTCAAACAATAACCTTGGCTAGGCTTGAGAGCCTAAAGGTTATCGCCCAGCCATTTAGCAAAAATTGGTCACCTAATCCTGACAACCAGACATTTCTTCATTTGTTTCCCTGTTGCCTGCCTCCCTTCCCCCTCATTGGCTGAGCGGCCAAAGCAGGGCTCATGCCACCATTGGCTCTCTTGCTGGCTTGTTGACATCACAGCCAATCATCACAAAGCCAGCTTTGGGGGGGGTGGGGGGTTGGTGGGCATGGGAACTTTTGAATCTGAAGGCCATAAATATATTTATCTCTCTGCCCAATGGGGATGTCGATTTTGTTGGCAGATTACTGTAATCGTCATCCTTTCCTGCTGGAATGAAATAAACAACTCGGTGGCATTTTCTTCAACTGGGTGTTTTCTGTCTCGCCAGGTGTCCAGAGCCGCTTTTACGGATCTGACCAGTCTTTGCCTCGGCAGGGCCTCCCAAATTAATGTTTGACATCAGTTCTTACTAAACTACAAATTCCATAACATTGGCCAGTGGCAGCTATAGTGGTGTGAAACTGTATTAATTCTACAGTGTAGATCAGAAGTGTCAAACTCATTTTCACGAGGGTCACATCAGTCTTGTAGTTGTATTTAATGGGTTGTTAGTAATTGTAAGATCCATTCCTTGATCAATGGGGATTTTATTCTCCTCTCCACTGCATTGCCTCAGCTTTGTTGCAGTGTGCCTTCAAGTCATTTCAGGCCGCTTCTACACTGCCTTGTAATCCAGATTATTAAAGCAGATGTAGAAGGGGCCTTAGTCTAATGCACAGGACACATCGTGCTGGTTCTCCCATTATATCAGCTAAAGTTATTTGTATCACTGAACATGAAAGGATCAAGAAATTACTAGCTAAACCCAAAGAGAGGGTGCCATTTATCACCACCATTGTGAGCACAAGAAATGTACTTTCTGCTTCGGTGCACCAAATATGAGGAAGAGCTTTAATGTAACATTTCCTCTTCTTGTAACACCAGAGATCTAACATATAACCCAGTTCCTTGGTATTCTTACTCCAGAAGGAGCACAAGGGACAAAAAAGAATGGCCTACAATAGCCATGCAATACTAATTAATTGCTAATATTAGAAGATTAGAGAGGTGGAACAATACTGAAAGCCCTGCAGATGTTTTGGTTTAGGCCCTTTCTAAACTGCCATAGAAAATCCAGATTATCTGCTTTGAACTGGATTATATGGCAGTGTAGACCAGGCATGGGGAAACTTGGGCCCTCCAGGCTGTTAGGAATTGTGGGACTTGAAGTCCAAAACAACTGAAGGGCCAAAGTTTGCCCTTGCTTGGTGTAGACTCTTATAATCCAATTCCAACCAAATAATGTGGGTTCTTTGATTTGATAATCTGGATTACGAGGGTTGAATGAAAAGTAATGCCTCCACCTTTGTAACTCCTCAACAGATGGCAGTACTGGTATGCGGCAGATACTGGCTTGTTCAGTAGACTCTCCTCTACAGTTCCATTTTGGTGGTAAGCCTTAGCATTGAATGGTTGTGTTGTTAAAGTGCAAAGTACGGAACCTTGCGCAGACAGTGTGACTTAAGCAACATGCAGTCATTTAATTCTTGACAGCAGAAGGTGTCACTGCAAAGGAGATTCATTAGAGAATGCAAGCTGTTTATGGCGATTGTGCTGATGTGAGTACTGTGCATTGTTGGGCAGTCAGTTAAAAATGTTGAGGTGGAAACATCTAACTTGCATGACAAACAAAGAGTTGGACGTCCTATGACAGCAACCACTGAGTTTCACAAGCAAAACGTTGACACATTGATTCAGGATGATCGTTGTATCACTCAGAGAGAAATTTCAAGCATAATTGGCATTTCACAAGAACGTGTGGGTCACATTATTGCTTTGCTTGACTATTGGAAGATCTATGCATGATGGGTGCCCAGGATGCGGACGCCTGAAATGAAAGCGCACAGACTTGAAACTTTAGAGACTGGATCTCACCACTATATGACATCCTCCATACAGTCCAGGTTTAGCATCACCTGACTTCCATCTGTTCCCGATAATGAAAGAAGATCTGCGGGGACATCATTATGCTTTTGATTAAGACGTTGAGAGAACTGTGAGACACTGGTTGCGGGAACAGAGTGCCGACTTCTTCCATGACGGCTTCCGAAAACTTGTTCATAATAGAAAATGAGCAGGGCAAATGGAGGAGGTAAAATGATAAAGCCCAGGATGGAGTAGGAATAGAAAAAAAGTGTAAAGCATGTCCAGATTATTTGCTGTGCACTGTATTATCTGGTAGTGTAGACTCATATAATCCAGATTATTTGCTGTGTACCGTATTATCTGGCAGTGTAGATTATTTGCTGTGTACCATATTATCCGGCAGTGTAGACTCATATAATCCAGATTATTTGCAGTGTACCGTATTATCTGGCAGTGTAGACTCATATAATCCAGATTATTTGCTGTGTACCATATTATCCGGCAGTGTAGACTCATATAATCCAGATTATTTGCAGTGTACCATATTATTTGGCAGTGTAGACTCATATAATCCAGATTATTTGCTGCATACCATATTATCTGGCAGTGTAGACTCATATAATCCAAATTATTTGCTGTGTGTCGTATTATCCGGCAGTATAGACTCATATAATCCAGATTATTTGCTGTGTACTGTATTATCCGGCAGTGTAGACTCATATAATCCAGATTATTTGCTGTGTACCGTATTATCTGGCAGTGTAGACTCATGTAATCCAGTTCAAGGCAGATATAATCCAGATTATTTGCTGTGTACCGTATTATCCGGCAGTGTAGACTCATATAATCCAGATTATTTGCTGTGTGTCGTATTATCCGGCAGTGTAGACTCATATAATCCAGATTATTTGCTGTGTACAAAATTATTTGGCAGTGTAGACACATATAATCCAGATTATTTGCTGTGTACCGTATTATCCGGCAGTGTAGACTCATATAATCCAGATTATTTGCTGTGTACCGTATTATCTGGCAGTGTAGACTCATATCCAGATTATTTGCTGTGTACCGTATTATCCGGCAGTGTAGACTCATATAATCCAGATTATTTTCTGTGTACCGTATTATCTGGCAGTATAGACTCACTAATGTGGATGATCTGCCTTGATATTCTAATAACACAGAAGGGCCCTGCGTTAATGCTACCCTGTAGGTGCGCCCACACACTCAATCTCTGTTCTCCCCCCAAATCTTCTCCTCATTGGCTGTTCTCTCTGAGCCCGGCCCTCCCCCTCGGCGCTGATTGGCCGCTCCGCCTCTCCGAATCCTTCACCCCGCCGTCCCCATTGGTCCCCGGCCTCGACCCGCCTCCAATTTTAAAAGGGATTATTGCACCCCTTTCCCTTCCCAGGTGGGGGGAAGGGGGTGGGGAGCCGAGGAGGGCGCCGAGAGGGGCAGATCAGGACTAGGAAAAGCGCCGAGGGGGAGCCCAGGTGAGTGGCCCTGAAGCCGGTGCCTGTCTCTTTAAGAAGCACAGCTGGAGGGAGGCCTGGGAACAGCTGGCCTGGAAGGGAAAGGTGGGATTGGGGTGGGAGAGAGGGGGGATTATAAGTATGGCTTAGTTACAATTATTCATTTTCCCCATATTTCCCTGCAATGCAGCCCATCTGCATTCCAGATCATTTTGTCTCCCTGCATCTCTGCATACCAATCCCTGATGGCGACTTTCCCTTTGTCTAAGCATCCAGGCTCTCTCTCTCTCTTTCTCTCTCTTTTTACTCCTCCCCCAGCATTTCCTTCCTGTCTCTGCATGTGATCACCACACAACTAGCAAATCCAGTGGATCTATTTTCCCAAGGGCCTGCTGCTCGAAATCCACCTTGGAATCCCTTTCATGTAATTGTAACCCTTTGCAGTTTGCATTCCTCCTCCCTCCCCCATTCCCCTTCCACAAAGCCCTATATCCTAGAATATCAAGGCAGAAAATCCCACAATATCTGCTCTGAAGTGGGATATCTGAGTCCACACTGCCCTGTAACCCAGTTCAAAGCAGATCATGTTAGATTTTATACAGTTGTGTGGAAGGGCCAAGGCAAAAGAATGTGGATACCTCACTGAACTACAATTCCTAGGATTCCATAGCATTGAACCAGGTCAGTTTAAGGAGCATCAAACTGCATTCATTCTGCAATATAGATCAGTGGTTCTCAACCTGGGGTCCCCAGATGTTTTTGGCCTACAATTCCCAGAAATCCTAACAGCTGGTAAACTGGCTGGGATTTCTGGGAGTTGTAGGCCAAAAACACCTGGGGACCCAAGGTTGAGAAGCACTGGTGTAGATGCACCCTTAGGCCCCTTGTACACTGCTGTATAAAATCCAGATTGTCTGATTTCATAGAATCTTAGAATAATAGAGTTGGAAGAGGCCACATGGGGCATCTAGTCCAACCTCCCCACCATGCAGGAAAAGCTCGATCAAACTAGCCCTGACAGATAGCCATCCATCCTCTGTTTAAAAGCTTCCAAAGAAGGAGCTTCCACCACATTCTGAGGCAGAGGGCCCTTCCACACAGCCCTATATCCCAGAATATCAAATCAGAAAATCCCACATTATCTGAGGGCATTTCCACAAAGCCCTATATCCCAGAATATCATAGCAGAAAATCCCACATTATCTGATTGTGGACTCAGCTAACCCAGTTCAAAGCAGATAATGTGGGATTCTCGGCCATGATATTCTGGGATATAGGGCTGTGTGGAAGGGCCTTTAGTTTCCAGGGCAGCAGAAAACAAGCCTGCTCCCTCTTCTTTGAACTGGATTATATGATGGTGTAGAGCACTGGTTCTCAACCTGTGTGTCCCCAGATGTTTTGGCCTTCAACTCCCAGAAATCCTAAGAGCTTGTAAACTGGCTGGGATTTCTGGGAGTTGTAGTGATACAAATGCACTGCTTCCAAGATGCAAGTTTTCTTCTCCTTGGATTTCTTTGAGAGCATCCCAATTCCCACATATTTCCAATTTCCTATTCCCAGACTGCAACTCCCAGCAATCCTCCAGATAAATAGATTAGATAGAGATAGGTAGGTAAGTAGGTAGATTGATCAGAAGGACTGCTGGGAGTTGCAGTCCAGGAATAGGTAGAGAAGAAAGAATGAGGAGAAAGTGGAATGGAAGGAGAAGGGGGGAAGGAAGGGAAGAGGTAGAGAAGGAAAGAAAGGAGGAGAGAAAGAGGGAGGGAAGGTTGGCCACAGCAATGCATGGGAGGTACAGCTAGTACTTTATATAAAATGATATGCATAGCACACATACATATAAATATTGGAAAAGATGTTTCTTGATCCATGATGGAGTTCAAGGTGACATCCATGGAGTTTACTGGCAGACTTCTATCCAGACCCCAAATCTAGCTTCAGCAGAGGATGGCATTGTATACTCTGAGTCCAAGGGAATGTTTAAATTAGACTTCCTAGAGTTGCTAGTTCAGTGGTTTAATGTTAACCTGAAAGGAAGAGGGAGAAGCAATATCCCTCCAAATATAGACCATATTTTACCCAAGGTAGTCAGCGGGATTGTACAAGATTTCCACACAAGAAATGTGGCCTGTTGTTTGGATGAATGAAGATCAGCAAGAAAACTGGCTTGTATGGTTTCAGTACAGTCAGCATGCTCTAAAACTGCAGAGCTTGAAAATAGCATATTATAAGGAATGTATTACTTTTTTGAGGGTGAAACAATGTTGTTGTTTTTACAAAGTGGCTTTGGAGTGTACTAAATAACAATTTCTTGTTATGTCTAAAATGGAGTCGGAGGAATATTTGGGAACATTCAGCCAAGAACCCTAAAGGCACCAGATCCCAGTTGATCTTGGAATCTAAGCTGGTTAGTATCTAGATGGGAGACCACTAATGAAGACCAGATGATATAGGCTGTATTCCTGGTTCCTTCTACACTGAGTCTACACTGCCATATAATCCAGTTCAAAGCATATAATGTGGATATTCTGCCTTGGTAATCTGGATTTTTATGGCAGTGTAGAAAGGGCCTCATATAATCCAGTTCACAGCAGATAATGTGTTTTATCTGCTTTGATAATCCAGGTACATTAAACACAGGTATCCCAAGATTCTGCAGTCAAACAGAACAATGCTGTTCAAACCTGGTTCCTGGATTGGTGCCGATCCATAAGCCATTATCTACAGGTCACCAGTGAGTTTCCAAGAAAGAAAAATGCAATTGTAACCAATGGCCCCCGGTGGCGCAGTGGGTTAAAGCACTGAGCTGCTGAGCTTGTTGATCGAAAGGTCGCAGGTTCGATCCCGGGGAGCTTCTGCTGTCAGCCCTAGCTTCTGCCAACCTAGCAGTTCGAAAACATGCAAATGTGAGTAGATCAATAGGTACCGCTCCGACGGGAAGGTAACGGCGCTCCATGCAGTCATGCCGGCCACATGACCTTGGAGGTGTCTACGGACAACGCTGGCTCTTCGGCTTAGAAATGGAGATGAGCACCACACCCCAGAGTCAGACATGACTGGACTTAATGTCAGGGGACTACCTTTACCTTTAACCAATGGCACGATTGTGGTACAATTCCTGGGCACATTGGGGACAATAGATGTCTCTCCTGGAACTATGATACCTTAGGAAGAACCGTCCTACAAAATCAGAATAGAATCGAATGCAAAAGGTTGAATTCTGCAACCTGGGGCCCTTTTCACAGTACAAAATTATGCTGCTGTAATGTTATGTAGCAAAATTTGAAACATTTTTTGTTCCTGGTTTGAAAGTGTTATTTCCTGTTTAATTGTGTGGTAGTTACTTTGAAAGTAATTGTTATACTCCAGAACTTCATTGTTGTGGCTGCCACAAACTATGTTGAATTAGTTGTGACTGAGATATTCATTGAAACACTATAGTAAAATGTGCTGCAGGATATCAGGTAAAAACAAAGGTTTGCAGTTTAATAAATCTTTCCCATTTTTTTTAATGATAGAACTAATTAGGACATGACATTTATAATCCTGGTACAAAACTTGTGTTACATAGTGTAATTCCACTTTAACTGCCATGGTAAGATCCTATGAAGTCTTAGAATTGACAGTTTAGAGCAGTGGTTCTCAACCTATGGGTCCCCAGAGGTAAACTGCTGGTAAACTGGCTGGGATTTATGGGAGTTGTAGGCCAAAACACCTGGGGACCCACAGGTTGAGAACCACTGGTTTAGAGAGAGCAATTTAATACTTGGATAGGAGACTCCCAATGAACACTGGATGCTGAAAGCTACATTTTCACCTGGGCATCTCAGCTTGTCTTCCTTCAGGAGTCAGCTCCGTGAGCTGGACCAGAACTGCCCAGTAACCAGGGCTGGGATCAACCCTTTCCACTCCTCTTGAGATCCCTTTGCCTTTGTCTTCCTCCAGGTTGTGGCCATGACCACTTACACGCGGGAGGAATTCTACCAGCAGCTGCTGAGCGGCTGTGTGCTGCCCACTGCTCAGCAGGGCATTGAACAGGTGTGGACGCTTCTGCTCTTGTGCCTAGTATGCCGTATCCTTTGGAGACTCTGTAAGTATGAACATCTAGAGGTGTATACCAGGGTTGGATTGCCAGTTCCCATCATTCCCTAGCAAACATAGCCAACACTGTGAGTCATTGGAGTAACAGTACATCATCATTAAGAGGGCAGTATCTTGACCCATTCTTGCTCTGTGATATTACTGGGCAAGTGCATGATGCAGTTGGCCCCCAAGCCCCCCCCCCACAAATCAACAGTTTTGGGGTATTTTTGCCCCCTAAAAGTTATCTCAGGCTTAGCGATATGGGGCTACTCTTGCTATAGTTGGAAGGAGTTGGACAATTATAGGCCTTGAAACCAATTCTTTTTCCAAGCTCTGTTTAGGAGATCCTGCAGGAGTTTCTTCTCTCTTCCCCAAGGGAAGTAGTGGCTAGTGCTTCCCATGCCAGTAAGACTGATTCATAACATGTTGTAATTCAGGCTTCTCCAAGATGCTGAACCCTATTCCTAAATAAGCCCAGTCTATTCCTAAATAAGTCCAGAGATAGGGAATATATGAATCCAAAATCCTCTGGATGCTCAAGATTGCAGTTTCCAACACCCCCAATTCCTGGCTGTTTTGTGGTAGGGCTGATATCAGTTGTAGTCCAAGAACATCTAGAACACTTTTCTTTAACTGTTGATATCAACCCTAAGTAGGGGCCCCTTGGCTCAATGTTGGGATTAGAAATATTTGGCAACAGTAGAAGGTTTCCAATGAATTGGTTGTTATAGACCAGGGACCAGGGGTCCTCAAACCAAGGCCCGAGTGCCGGATATGGCCCTCCTAGGTCATTTACCCGGCCCTCGCTCAGGGTCAACCCAAGTCTGAAACTACTTGAAAGCACACAACAACAACAACAACAGCAGCAGCAACATCTCATCAGCCAAAAACAGGCCCACACTTCCCATTGAAGTACTAATAAGTATATATTTGTTAAAAAAATTCTTCATTTTAACTATTGTATTGTTTTAAAATGTTTTTGCACTACAAATAAGATATGTGCAATGTTCATAGAAATTCATTCATTTTCTTTCAAATTATAATCCGGCCCTCCAATAGTTTGAGGGATTGTGACCTGGCCCTCTGTTTAAAAGGTTTGAGGACTCCTGTTGTAGACATTTACACAAATCTACTGTGCCATGTTTACAGTGGACTCTAGAGAAGATATTTCTGCTATTTTTCATAAAAATGAAAATCAGCTTATATAGCAAGCCTTGCAAATACTGATTTGTTATCAATGAATGTTTGATTTTATACCTACTTAATATATCTGGGTTCACGTAAAAAATTCTTAGTCCAAAATGAATCACACATGGAAAGGTTTAAGAAGCCCTGGTCTAGATTGCCACATGCTCCCCAGAGCATCCCAGGATACATGATCAAGATATTTTGGCTCGGAACATGAGATCATCCTAAGTCCCCCTATGTGTGCATCTCTCTTAACTGTCTCTTTCCTTCCTTTGCAGCCCTGCCATCTTATGCCAAGCACCTGAGCACAGTAGCCAGTGGCTTCTATGCCCTCTACCATTTCTTCCAGCTCCAAATGGTGTGGGTCGTACTCCTCAGCCTCCTGTGCTACCTTGTCCTGTTCCTCTGTCGCCATTCCACCCAGCGTGGTGTCCTCCTTTCCATTACCATCCTCATCTATTTGCTCATGGGGTGAGTAGAGGATCGAAAAAGAGAGGGCACAAGCATTCGTCAGTGATAAGCTGTTGTAGTTAAAGGGAGAGGAAAGAACAGTAAGGGAGAGGGTACCAGACTCAAACAACAGAAGCCTGGTAAGAAAAATCTGCATATTGACAAACTATAGCGAGCTCTAAGATCTTCTGGGGAGGCCCTCCTCTCGGTCCCACTACCGTCTCAAGCACAGTTGGTGGGGACGAGAGAGAGGGCCTTCTCAGTGGTGCCCCCCCCCCCCGCCTCTGGAACTCCTTTCCAAGGGAAATAAAACAGGCCCCATCTCTCCCCTCCTTTCGTAAGAGCTTGAAGACCTGGTGGTTTCAACAAGCCTTTGAAAATAACCAGTTCTAACTCAGCCCCACACATTGTCGAATACGGCCTTATTCTTCCTACCAATTACCCAGATCATTTCCTCTAATCGGCCCCGGAATGAACAACCACAGACCCATACCTAATATTATTGTTGCCTGCCATAGCATTGCACTCAATTCCTGGGCCCCCTAGAATTTTTGGGCTTGCACAAATCTTGGCACGGCATTTTAAATTTTTAATTGCCTTGAACAGGCAGGATTACTTTTAATATATGTGTGTTATGGCGACAATTTTTATGCTTATATTTTGTCTGTTAATCTTATGGTTATGTTGTTTTTACTCTGTGTGTTTTGTGATGTTATTTGGGAACCGCTCTGAGTCCCCTCGGGGAGATGGAGCAGTATATAAATAAAGTTTTGTTATTATTGTTATAAGGGAGAGGGTACTAGACTCAAACAACAGAAGCCTGGTAAGAAAAATCTGCATATTGACAAATTATAGCTAGGATAGAAGGGCCATGCTTCATTAGTGGGCTGGTTTGATAACCTTTGAACTGCAATTGATGGTGCCTTCCGTTCTTTCCTCCAGCTGCATCCCACATTACAATGTGTAGTAGCCTAGGTCAGTCAAGGTGGCACTTGAGACAGAAAACCCCATAAGCATGTGAAAATGTAAAGTAGTCATGAGTTGAATAATAATCGGTCACTATATGTCATCCCAAAGCAGCTGCCCGAAACAAGCATTTCATTATTCTTGATGGAGTTTGGTATTTGTGAGAGAAAAAGCTGGGTGTTATATAGAAAGCATCAGTCACTGGGTGAGAGATTTTAAAGCTGCCGGAACTGAAGCATCCTGAGAGGCTGTTGAGGATGAGATGAGAGAAACTAAACCAAGCAAAATGGCACTTTAAAATCCAAAGCAGGCTAAAACAACAGGCAGGGAAGCTCATCAAATGGGAAAGCAAGAAAGGACCAATAAGAAAAAAGATCTGATCAGTTAAAGAAGGAAATCACTATGTAGTACACAATAGGATTCCAGTAATGGTTTCCAAGTTTGTTGGGATTTGTAAACATGTCCAGGGAAATGAGATCAGTACCAATAAGTGAAAATATGGTCAATAATTATTTCACAACTCAAAAACATTCCTTTTTGTATTATTATTATTTTTATTATTTGTCGTGTCGGGAGCGATTTGAGAAACTGCAAGTCGCTTCTGGTGTGAGAGAATTGGCCATCTGCAAGGATGTTGCCCAGGGGATGCCCAGATGATTTTTGATGTTTTTATCATCCTTGTGGGAGGCTTCTCTCATGTCCCCGCATGAGGAGCTGGAGCTGATAGAGGGAGCTCATCTGCCTCTCCCTGGATTTGAACCTGCGACCTGTCGGTTGTCAGTCCTGCCGGCACAGGGGTTTAAGCCACTGCGCCACTGGGGCTCCTTTTTTTTATTATTATTATAACTTTTGGGCATAGAAGCGAGAGTTTCCAGGAGGTGTAGTCCTAATCATATTTTTCCTATCATCAACTAATTTTTCCAGTCTCATAGTAGCTTACCACTTGTGGGTCAGGTGTCAACCAAATGTCTAGCCTTTTTTTGTTCCTTTTTATTGGAAAGCCTTGTGAGAGAAGCAGAAAGAACATGTAATTTCAGAAAGGTAGCCAGAGGACTGCGTGTCAATTATGTTTTATTGTTGTTGTGTGCCTTCAAGTCCTTTCCATCTTGAATCAACCTTACTTTCTTGGTTTGTCTTTGCCTCCTTCTGGGGCTGAGAGATTGTGACTTGCCCAAGTCACCTAGTGGGTTTCCATAGCTGAGTGGAGATTGAATCCTGGCCTCCAGAGTCATACTCCAACACTCGAACCACTTCACGACACTTGCTCTTCGATTACTTTGACATACACACAAATTATCAATATTTCTCTATGCTTTGCAGGGAAATGCACATGGTGGATACTGTGAGTTGGCATAAGATGAGAGGTGAGTATTAAATCAATCTTCTGTTTTTATACGCCGAGGAATCTGGGAATATGTATCTATGTGCATTCAAGTCACTTACTGGGATAAAAATTGAATTTTGGTGTCCTCGTAGGTTATTGGGGTTCTCCTGAGCATGGTGATGCACCCCTCTTGTTTCTCAGTGGCTCTGTTTTGGTTGCCATCTTTTCAGAATTTGCTAGTTAAATATATGTTAAAAAACAGATACTGCTCCTATATATGCAAGTTACATTGGACTATCACTTGTAAGACCTGTTGGGATTTGAGTTTCTTCTTTCAAACTCCCCAATACTCACTGTGAATTTTTGGACCTTACATGTAAGATCATAACCACAAAATGTCTCTCACACTCCCACAGGTGCACAGATGATTGTGGCCATGAAAGCTGTGTCATTAGGATTTGATCTTGACCGAGGCGATGTGCCAGCCATCCCCTCACCAGTTGAGTTCATGGGATATATCTACTTTGTTGGAACAGTCATATTTGGACCCTGGTTCCGCTTCCGCACATACTTGCAGGCCGTGGAGAGCAGGAAAATGGTGAGCATCCCATGCTGTTTGTTATTGTTAAAGTGGGCAAGGTGATTGGGTTGCATGGACAAGTCATTGTTGATGGAAAATTAAAATGGCATCATCCTGGAAACAGTTCCGGCCCAGATTACCTGTCTGAACGTATCTCTCCTTATGAACCATCTAGGAGCTTAAGATCATCTGGGGAGGCCCTGCTCTCAATCCTGCCTGCATCAGAAGCAAGATTGGCGGGGATGAGGGACAGGGCCTTCTCAGTGGTGGCCCCCCCCAGCTATGGAACTCCCTCCCCAGGGATATTAGATTATCCCTCTCCCTCATGACTTCCCGAAAAAAAGTAAAAACTTGGCTCTTTGAGCAGCTTTTGAGAATGCAGCGGAATAGATAACATGAAACTGAATGATGAACATGGAATGGCCAGACGATGCTACTGGAAAATGATTTTAACAGGATGACACCAGTGACTACATGTTTTAAATGGTTTTTATATATGTTTTTATATTGTTCTGTTGTTTGTTTTTAACCGTATTTTATGAATGCATGGCATTCAATTGTGGCAATCTGTAACCCGCCTTGAGTCGCCATATGGTTGAGAAAGGCGGGCTATAAATGTCGTAAATAAATAATGATAAATAAATACTTTTTAAATTGCCCAGGTTCACACAAAGGATTTATTTCATTTCTCCATCAGTAACATATATTCACCTAGGTTTATAAGCAAGACGTTTTGGCTAGGTAAGGTTAAAGACACCTGTAGAACAAATTATAAATTTCAAAGACATGCCTGTGTTGGTTTGGAATATCAATATGCGAAAGGATCTTGAACACCTAAGGGTATAGCTGAAATTACAAGGTTGGTACAGACTGAGCATCCCTTATCTGGAATTCTGAAATCTGAAACATTTCAAAATCCAACATTGTCCACATGGGTGGCTGAGAGATTAACACTTTTCTGATGGTTTAGTGTACACAAATTTTGTCTTGTGCATAATTTTGTTGAAAACATGGTATATAAAATTACCTTGAGGATATGTTTATAAGGTGTATATGAAACATAAATAAATTTTGTGTTTAGATTTGCATCCCACCTCCAAGATATCCCCTTATGTACATAGATGTAAATATAGGTTTTCCAAAATCCACCCAAAATCTGAAATCTAAAACACTTTTTAGTTTTAAGCATTTTGGATAAAGGATACTCAACCCGTAGCATTAGCTTTTGTATATTGCAAAAGGCCTATGCTGCCAACTTGGTTTTCTTGGTGTCTAAGGTGCTACAAGAACCCTTTGCTTTGTTTTAAATATGTCTGTTAATTATTCTAGTATTTTTGCAAAATACTGGAAGTAAATGTATTTCCAACTGAGGAGATAATGACAAAACTGCTTTTCTTCTTCCAGTTACAGAAATATTTCTAGAGTTAGGGAGGTGGAGATTTCTTGATTGCAACTCCCTGAGCGCACCATGGATGGATGATTTGTATGGACAAATATGGAAGAAGAACATTTGGCTTTATGCTCTGATATTTGCCTTATGATGCACAATTGTTTCTAACTTATGGCAAACCAATCATGGAGTTTTCTAGGGCTGAAAGTGTGCAATTTTTGCAGAATCATCCAGTGGATTTCCTAGTTTAAGGATTTAAGAAAGTTTGTTTTGTTTTCTTTTTTTGTTTGTAGAGCTTCTCCTGGTTCCGGAAGGTCTGCGTCAGCTTCTTCCTCTGCCTTGTGTGCCTCATCACATCCACTTGCATTGCTCCTTATCTGTTTTCTTACTTCATACCCCTCTACAACTACAAGCTACTCAGGAAGTAAGTGGGTTGCTCTCAGAAGACACTTCCTTCTCCCCTGACACAGACTCCCTGTGTATACAAGTGATACTGGATTTATTAGGCCAAAAGATGGCCAGTGGATCTAAAAAATGGATCTGATTGCTAAGTAGGTTATGAAACAGAGGTCCAGTTATTATTGAAAATACATTATTCTTCCCATTCTGGGCTGTTCTCTTCATTAGTCATATTCCAGCCAAACCTTTAAACTTATAAGAAGCAGAGGTCATCTCATCTTATAAGTATCCCAAAGCACCAGAGACTGAAGCCATATTTACGCGCAGGTTCAATTCCAGGGAGTGGCGTGAGCTTCCACTGTCAGCCCTAGCTTCTGCCAACCTAGCAGTTCGAAAACATGCAAATGTGAGTAGATCAATAGGTACCGCTCCAGCGGGAAGGTAACGGCGCTCCATGCAGTCATGCCGGCCACATGACCTTGGAGGTGTCTATGGACAACGCCGGCTCTTCAGCTTAAAAATGGAGATGAGCACCCCACCCCAGAGTCAGACATGACTGGACTTAATGTCAGGGGACAACCTTTGCCTTTTTTATTACTGAATCTATATCATTTTATAGACATTTACCACAGATTGATGTTGATCTGTAGACCATCACTTTGAATCTATATAGATGTTGATCTGTACACCATCACTTTGAGTAGCGCAGCTCCAAGGGGAAACTTAGGATTATGTATTTGTTTAAATATACACATATTTGTGTACATAGAGACTACATATATTTTGCTGTTTCCCATAGAACAGCTAAACAAATCTGGATTTGGCTGTGCATAATGGTTGAGTATCCATTTTTTCAAGATGCTTGAGACTAGAGGTGTTTCAGATTTTGAGTTTTGAGGGAAATTTGTAATACCTGTATCTTGGCGATGGGACCCAAATCTAAACACGGAATTCATGTATGTTTCATATACACCACATACATATACAGGGTGAGGCAGCATAACTTCCTTTTTTCAAAACTTAATAAAACCCATTGTATGAATCAGATTTTTTAATTTTTTAAATAATGTAGGCGCATACCTAAAGTTTTGTTTTACGTAGTTTTGAAGATCAAATTAGGTAGGTGACGTCCCCCATTCTCCATTCTCCATACACTGAGTAAACCAATTTCTGGCATTTGTCATGACTCTTGCTAGCATAGCAGGTGTTATGTTGGCAATTTCTTCCTGGATGTTGGTCTTCAAATCTTGTAGGGTCCTTGGATGGTTCATATAAACACGGGATTTCAAAAAAACCCATAGAAAAAAATCACAAGGGGCCAAATCTGGAGAGCGGGCCGGCCACTCCAAATCCGCTCGAAAAGTAGGCCTCAACGGCAAACTGTTCCAACACATGATGGCGGCTGAACTGTGTCAGGACAAAACTTTATACTCCCGCCTTTCGAACGAGACCACTAGCGCTCTGCTACATCTTCAACTGATTGAATTTAAAAAAAGGAAGTTATGCTGCCTCACCCTGTACATGGAACGTAATTGTATACACAATATTTTTTAATCATTTTACGCACAAAACAATGTTTGCATACATTGATCCATCTGAAAGTAAAGGTATTTTGGAATATTTAAGACTTCTGGTTAAAGGACACTCAACCTGTATTAGAACTGTGATGTTTACTTCTTGGCATCTTTCATCACTACATCCTAAGAGAACAACCTGGAATCTTCCCTTAAGGCTCTGAGAAATACTGTCTCTCTTAATAGATCCCTTTTGTGGAGGTCCTTTATTCAGCTTTCCTTTCTGATCCTTTCAGTTTTATTTTTGCAACTATGAAAGAACAACAAAGAGAATCTCCAGGCAATACCAAAATATATAATAATCATATAAACAGCTGTGAGATTAACTAAAGTTTGACAGCTGAGATAGTTAACAGAATAGGAAGTCCTTTTAGAGGCAGATCTCCTAAAAGACTGATTGGACTGCCCTATGACTTGATAAGCTTCTTTTCTCTTCCATATCCTTCAACCTTTTCCTATCCTCCTTCTCATTTCCTTGATCCTTTCTGGTGGGGATCGCGTTACTTGCAACAGGAAGCGCAAAACCAGGTAATGGCCTCTGTCAGTGTTTCTCTTTAGTTGTTTCACTCACGGTGTAGCTGTGGCCTTCACCCCATGGCGACTTTCTCCATCCATAGCAGCCGTTTCATTTGTTGCAAAGGTCTGTGATGGTTCCCTTCGTATGTGCATCATGTACCTGACATGACTCAGGCTTTCTTTTGTCTTTGTGGCCCAGCAGCCAGTTTGTCCTGTGGTTCATTGACACATTCCCATCATGGCTGAATCTATCACACAGTACGTTTGTGGGGGGCTTTTATTTCACCTTGTGTGTTGTGGCTGGTGTGTCTATTGTCTGCTCTGCACTTCATCTTGCATAGTAGCTCAGCTTTGTGCTTCATATTACATGCCTAGTTCTGCCACATTCATGTATTCCAGTGTTTTTGAAGTCCTCCTGTTTTGTCTGTATCACATTGTATACTCCTTGGCTCTGTTGCTTGATTATGACTTTTAAGAAATAGCAAGACAATTCAATAATGGTAGCACATTGTGCCTAGTGGAAAAAAAGGTAAACTGTCACTAATATGGATCGTATGGATTCTGCCTTTTACATAGAACTTCAAAATATGATGATAATGATGATAATAAAAGTATGTCTTACCCTCTTCTTCTCATGGCTTGAGGAGGAGCACAACACAATTAAAACACATCATCATAAAAATTCAGTAAAATGTTTATCTTAACACCCATTTTTGTAAAACACACATATTAAAATACATAGAACAATTTAAAATTCAGTTTAAATTGGGTAGGCCGGCTGGAAGTGATAGGTCTTCATTATGTCTTATATTCTGATAACTGATAATGGCAGCTTTTCTTCCTCATGGAAATGCAGCATTACATTGGTTATGTATCTTTTAAGGAAAGAAGTGGGAAGAAGAGGAAACAGCCTTTTAGAGAAGGGAGAAAAGGAAAGCAGATCCAATGTGAAAGGAAAAATATAATCTCGCAGTCAACTAATCTGCAGAGAATCAGCAACCAGTTCAGGAAGAAGTGGAGGTTCAAACAAGGTTCCCAAACAAGTGAGGATCACCCTTGGATCTAGTCCAGCAGTGGAAAATTTGTGACCCTCTGGCCAGATCCTTGACTTCCAGTTTATTTAAGCCAGTATGGTCATTTATTAGATATGCTAATGTTTATAGTTTGACACCATCTGAATCATAGAATCAAAGAGTTGGAAGAGACCTCATGGGCCATCCAGTCCAACCCCATTCTGCCAAGAAGCAGGAATATTGCATTCAAATCACCCCCGACAGATGGCGATCCAGCCAAGAAGAGTCACTGGTGTCTTCCCACTGCCGATCTAGTCAATATATATCAACAAAATATAACATTGTGAAAGACGAGAATTTCTAGCACTAAAGGCATTGCAGAATCACTAAAAGGGAAAGACTTAGATTGAGTCACAATCACCCAAAAATATGTATGATGAAAGTTCTGGTTGAGACCATAAAGTCAGCACTTTATATCGAACTGGTTCTGCATCCAAAGATTCAATGGCCTTTTGGTGTATCCTCGGCACTGTACTGCTGTGTGTAGGCATACTCTGGCTGTAGCTTCCCACTTTTTCACAGAATTTCAGTCTCTTTCTGACACTAGCTCTAGCTGTTTTCCATTTTATATGGGATTTAGCATGCATGGATTTTGGTGCCCATGGAGAGTCCTGGAACCAAACCCCCCACAATACTTAGATGTCACTGTATATATATATTGTAACCAAGAGACCTAGAAACTTGCTATTTTTGCTCTATACATATGCAGAGAAACAGAATAATAATAATAATAATAATAATAATAATAATAATAATAATAATAATCTTTATTTATACCCCGCCACCATCTCCCCCAACGGGGACTCAGGGCGGCTTACATGAGGTCAAGCCCATACAACAAATTACAATAAAGTAAGATATAAGTTACCATAAAATAAACAACATCACAGAAAAATACAGAACATATGACTACAGTAGAAAAAATAAAATAAAAAAACAAACAAAAAACCCCCAGTAAAACAAACATAATGACGGTGAGCGGGCCGCATGTACATAAAATGATAAAAAACTCAGGGTGAGATAAAGGAGCAGAATTATTTGTGAGTGAGAACTCGTAGAGAGACAGGGTGATAGACTGACCTTCATACAAGGGGGGGGGTGTACTCCTAGGACAAAGACGTTGTGGGGAGCAATAGGTTAAGAATATGTGACTACTCTCCAAAAGCGCAATAGAAGAACCAGGTCTTGAGATTCTTTTTAAAGGTTTCTAAGGTAGTGGCTTTCCTAATCTCTCCGGACAAACTATAGGTCCTTCCAGACAGGCCCTCTATCCCTGGACCTGATCCCAGATTTTCTGCTTTAAACTGGATTATATGAGTCCACACTGTCAGATAATCTGACAGGAAAGGCCCATAGTTTGCTGTGTCTCAACTCATTATAAAACAACTCTGCCCCAAATGCAACTGAACCCTCTTGCAGTGCAGGTGCTGCCGACTGTGGCTCTTTGTGGCTTTTCTCCTTGTGTTGTGGCTCAGTCTCTGTGCAAAGTCCTTCTGCCTCAGGATTTACTGATATTTCTTCTTTACTTCTGTTACTCATTCCTACGCTTTCTTTTTGCTGCTGGGGGCATGCCAGAAGCACCATGGTGAGGTGAGTTCCTCTAGGAATTCAGTTTCCTTTCCTTAGTAATGTAGGGTGGCAAAAGTCCCCCCAGTTTCTAAGGCAGAACTTGTTTTCTGACACAGATGGCTGCGGGCTTACGAGAGTGCCAGCTCCTTCCACTTCAGCAATTATTTTGTGGGCTTCCTGTCCGAAACCACAGCTACGTTGGCAGGCTCTGGCTTCACTGAGGAGAAGGACAATTTGAAATGGTGAGTAGTATACAAAGGGATGTGTTTGTGTGAAGAGAGAAGAGACACTGTTCACAAACTTAAATACCCTAACAGCAACATTTTGTGGCTAGAATAAATCTCTTAAGTTCTGTGTACAAATGGCTCACTACATTTAGGGGCTTAACTTTTACTGATATGATTATTTGCAAGTTTGATTAATATTTATTTATTTATTTATTTCGAGGTTTTATATACCGACCCTCTCACCTTCAAAGAGGGATTTGGACCGGTTCACAACATGTGTTGACATACAAAAAATATACAATAACAACACAATGCCACTTCATTACACGATTAAAATATCAGCACCATACACATTAAAACATTATCATCACAGTTAAAAGAGCCAAATCGTCCAACACCATCACAATCCCATTCATCATCCTCCTTTCATGTGGGCAAATAATTAAATCATTTGTCAAATGCCACGTTCCACAACTAGGTCTTTGTTAATTTCCTGAACGTCATGAGGGAGGGGACAGTTCTGATCTCTAATGGGAGGGAGTTCCAAAGTCGATGGGCCACCATCGAGAAGGCCCTGTCCCTCGTCCCCACCAGCCGTGCTTGTGCAGGCGGTGGGACCGAGAGCAGGGCCCCTCAAGACGATCTTAATGGTCTTGATGGTTCGTAGGGGAGAATACGTTCGGAGAGGTAAACAGGGCCGGAGTCGTAATATAGTCTCTCTAGGGATCTCTAGGTCATCACAATTATGATACCCTTCAGTCTTCTATTCATCAAGCTAAACATGCCATCACAAAGCGACATCACACTGGCAACCAAGATCCGCATAGTTAAAGCAATGGTATTCCCCGTAGTCACCTACGGATGTGAGAGCTGGACCTTAGGGAAGGCTGAGCAAAGGAAGATGGGTGCTTTTGAACTGTGGTGTTGGAGGAAAGTTCTGAGAGTGCCTTGGACCGCGAGAAGATCCAACCAGTCCATACTTCAGGAAATAAAGCCTGACTGCTCATTAGAGGGAAGGATAGTGGAGGCAAAGATGGAGTACTTTGGCCACATCATGAGAAGGCAGGAAAGCTTGGAAAAAACGATGATGCTGGGGAAAATGGAAGGAAAAAGGAAGAGGGGCCGATCAAGGGCAAGATGGATGGATGGGATCCTTGAAGTGACTGGCTTGACCTTGAAGGAGCTGGGGGTGGTGACGGCCGACAGGGAGCTCTGGCGTGGGCTGGTCCATGAGGTCACAAAGAGTCGGAAACGACTGAACGAATGAACAACAAAAACATGCCTAATTCCCTCATTTTTTCCTCAGATGTTTTGCTCTCCATGCCTCTTAACATCCTTGCTATGGAACCCCTGGTGGTGCAGTGGGTTAAACCCCTGTGCTGGCAGGACTGAAGACCAACAGGTCACAGGTTTGAATGTGGGGAGACCGTGGATGAGCTCCCTCTGTTAGCTCCAGCTCCTAATGTGGGGACATGAGAGAAGCCTCCCACAGGGATGGTAACACATCAAAACACCTGGGCATCCCCTGGGCAACATCCTCGCAGACGGCCAATTGTCTCACACCAGAAGCGACATGCAGTTTCTCAAGTCGCGCCTGACACAACAAAAAAACAAAAAAAAACACATCCTTGCTGCCTTTCTCTTAACCTGTTCCTACCTGTATACATTGTGCCCTGTGTAATGTTTATTTCCCACCTTTCCCTTCTCCTCCTCTTTCTTCCAGGGATCTGACAGTGTCTCGACCACTGAATGTAGAGCTGCCACGTTCTATGGTGGAGGTGGTCACCAGCTGGAATCTCCCCATGTCCCGTTGGCTAAACTCCTGTAAGCAACCTGTCATCTGTCTTGTTATCTTTATTCAGGATGGGCCTAGCCCTAGAAGCTAGGCCTCTAGGTGGGGCCCTCAGCCTTGGGCACCTGTGGTCTGTGCATTCTCCATGCCCCTTAATAGAACTATAAACATTTTTCCAGTGCATTTGGGGTTTCATGGTTGTTCTTTCCTTTCTTTTCCACATTTTAGAGAGGAAACAACTCCCATCTTCCTTGTTCATTAGCCATGACGGCTGGAACAGGGCCATGTGGTGGGATAGGAGTAGAACAGGAGGAGAGGTTTTCCTACCATCCTTGAAGCTTTGATTGGCAATATATCAGTGAGTTATGAAAGTTATTTGAAGCCTCATACTCCTCTGTGGATTAAAACCGCATGGGGTCATTCACCATCCTTGCCTCCTCTGTAAGTTGCTTCTGCTGTCCTAGAAAAATGGGAGAAAGACAGTGAGACAACACCACTGCTCTACGTACAGAAGTGGACTATGAGTGTGATTTAGACCTCTGCAGAACTGGGATCCGAAACTGATTATTAAAGAGCCTATTTATTTAACTTGTATCTTGCCTTTCTCCTCGTCCAGGATACAAGGAAGCTTACAATAATTAAAATAAAGTATGATTTATAGAAAAGTAAAAAAAAAAACCAAAACAGTTTATTTAAAAACAGACAATTAAAGTGACATAAGTTGTTATTGTTATATTTATTTATATCCTGCTTTTTTCTCCTCAAAGGAGACTCAAAGTGACTTAAGCAATACATAATAAAAGATACAGCTCTATGAAACACCCTTTCCGCCACCTAAATAATAAGTCAAAGACCTATCTGAATAAAAAGGTAATTGACTGCCAGGGAGAGGAGGAGAGGAAAAGGAAAGAAAAGGAAAGGAAACGGAAAGGAGAAGGAAGGAAAAGGAAAGAAAGGAAAAGGAAGGAAAGGGAAAGAAAGGAAAGAAAAGGAAAGGAAAGAAAGGAAAAGAAAGGAAAAGAAAGGAAAAGAAAAGAAAAAAGAAAGTGGGGGGCAGTCAACCAGGTTGTGGAAAGGAATTTCATAACCTGGGAATAGTCACCAAGAAGTCTCCCATGTCTACATCAGACATTCCTATGATGGTAATGGGACTGAAACAAAGTCTTCCCTCAAAACTTGGGCAGACTTGTCTTTCAGGAAGTGTGTGAACCCAGATAGTGTGGAACATGACTCCTTACTTAACTTGCCCCCCCACCCCCACCCCCCAGTCTTAGTCTTAACTCCTTAGTAGGTATTGCTCCTCTAAGCTGGCCACGTCCAGGACAATTTTACTACTCCAATGCCTGCAGAAAGAATATTGTGAAGTAGACAGGAGAAAAACAGCATCTCAAAAGCCACTAAGCTAACTGGATCTCAGCTGGAAACAAATCATGGTAGCAGCTTGAAGTGAATACCTTTTTGTTTCAATGGAGGAGGAGGAGGTGGGAAAACTGAGGATTTGTGTTTGCTTGTAGAGCAGAAGAAAAGTTGCTCAATTTCCTAAATCAATTTGTTCCTAGATGTTTTCAAGAACTCCCTGAAACTGGGCACCTTCTCGGCCATCATTGTAACCTATGCAGCTAGTGCTCTCTTGCATGTGAGTATCTCTCCCCTGCAGAAGTCATTATGGCTTGAGAATCCCTTATCCAAAATGCATGGGACCAAAAGTGCTTTTGATTTTGTATTTTTTTTGGATTTTGGAATACTTATATTTGCATATACATACATAATGAGATATTTTGAGTAGAACCCCATTTGTCTCATAGACCGCCTTTATAAACATAGCCCGAACATAACTTTATACAATATTTCTAATAAGTTTGTGAATTAAATGAAATTTGTATAGAACAACTATAAAGCAAATAGGTCGCTATCTCAGCCATCCATGTGCATGTGGAATTCTGGATAAGGGATGCTTAGTTTGTTTAACCTATGCAAAGGGTACTTTCTTTTATGTGTGTTTCTCTCTCCCCACAAGCCAGTCTATGAGTTCTGTTTTTTAGTAGCAACCCAATGGTACTATATTTCTATAAATTTGGGGTGAATTTGAAACATTTGTATTCTATTTTTCTATCTTAGGGAGCTCTCAGTCAGCTCAAAAGGGATACAGTACAGTCTTTGAGTACTGATTTTGAGGAGGCTCAGCAACCATCGGATGTTTTAGTTGCTTGCCAAGTCAGGATGGTACCAGGCCCTGAGACCTAGAAACAACCCTTATAGTAATGTCACTAGAATCATAGAGTTGGAAGAGACCTCATGGGCCATCCAGTCCAACCGCCTGCCAAGAAGCAGGAAAATCGCATTCAAAGCAGCCCTGACAGATGGCCATCCAGCTTCTGCTTAAAAGTCTCCAAAGAAGGAGCCTCTACCACACTTTGGGGCAGAGAGTTCCACTGCTGAACAGCTCTCACAGTCAGGAAGTTCTTCCTAATGTTCAGATGGAAACTCCTTTCCTGTAGTTTGAAGCCATTGCTCCGCATCCTGGTCTCCAGGACAGCTTAAAACAAGCTTGCTCCCTTCTCCCTATGACTTCCCCACACATATTTATACATGGCCCTCATCATGTCTCTTCTCAGCCTTCCCTTCTGCAGGCTAAACATGCCCAGCTCTTTAAGCCGCTCCTCTTGGGGCTTGATCAGATCCTTGATCATTTTAGTTGCCCTCCTCTGGACACATTCCAGCTTGTCAGCATCTCCCTTCAATTCCAGTGCACAGAATTGGACACAATATTCCAGGTGTGGTCTGACCAAGGCATCATAGAGCAAACGTCAGCCATTTTCTAAGATTGTGAGGATGCTAGAAGTTTCTATTTTGATACTGAACCACATCTCTTTCTCTCAGGGACTAAGCTTCCATTTGGCTGCTGTGCTGTTATCTCTGGGATTCATCACTTACATTGAACATGGTGAGCTCTTCACAGTCTTTTCCTGCTTTTTAGTCCCAGTTCTTTACTCCCATCCAGCCTGCAAGAAGATAGTACATTAATCATTATTTGTTGTTACATGCATGATCTGCAATAAGCCATAGACCTGTGTGCTCTGTATCCCATCCCTCGTTTCGGTAGGAAACAGCGTTCATAGCATGTAACAAATTACTGTTTAATCTGAGCCTAGGTACTTGTTAAAACATTTATAAGGTAAGTAAGTCAAGATATAAAGCTATCATTTAGATTTTATCAGCAAAGAAAATTTAACACTTAAGGACAACTAGAGATGAAACAAAAAAAATTAAGCTGGGAGTCAGCATTCTTTTGGGTTCTTAGTTCCATCTTTGTTCTGTGTTAAAGTATGAGAATATGCCTATACAATAGATGCTCAACTTTCACATGAATTCTGGATGCAAAACCTCCAAAATGTCAGAGGAGAAGCAAAATTTCGAAATTATATTTGCCCAAGGAACCGTTTCCTAGGAAAGTTTCGGTACTCCAGCATGACTCTGTAGTCAACTTCTGGTGGAAGTTGACCATTCAGTTCTGCAGGAGGATTTCAAGATTCATAGAAAGAACATATTAAAATTTAAAATGATATTTGCCCAAGAGAACATCTCCCTAAGAAACTTTAAGTACTCCAGTATGACTCTGTGGTCAGCCACACAGTTCTGCTGGAGGACCTCAAGATTCATAGAAAGAACATATTAATCAAACCCACAAGAGATAAACGTGTAAATGTGGAAAGCTGATCTCAGTTTTGCAACTTTATTATAATGTTCCATTTATTTGGGGTTTTATTGCATTGTTTCCATTGTATTTGAATGTATTTATGTTTTGTAAAATGCCTTTCTGACATTTTAAATTGTCAGGTATTTTAACAAATTGGTGTATGTGCGCTACGCTTCAGAAATAGTCCACTGTGGAAAAGTTAGTGGCATATTACATGAAAATGTACTTTGATTTCTGCTTAGTTCTCCGGAAGAGGCTTGCTGTCATCTTTGATGCCTGCATACTCTCCAAGAAGTGCCAGCCAGGCTGTTCGCATCGCAACAACACGGTAAGCTATTTTGTGTAGCTTGTTGTCGACCTTTGCAACCCAAAAGACAGTTGCATCTGTCAAGTAGGAAAATTAGGTACCACCTATGTGTGGGGAGGCAAATTAACTAATTTATGAGGCCATAAAAAGACTCCAGTAAAAAGCACTCCAGCAAAGCATGCGGAGAATGCGGAAGTACTTCATCAGTGTTGCAGATAGACAATGAAAGCAACAGCTTCCCTGGTGGCCAGAAAAAGTTAAATAGCTTCTGTGTATGTCTATATGTTGTATCTCTAATTGGCATTGAATGTTTGCCATATATGTGTACACTGTAATCCGCCCTGAGTCCCTTGCGGGGTGAGACGAGCGGAATATAAATGCTATAAATAAATAAATAAGACGGACCTTTAAAGTCCAAGAATTGAAGGCACTGCTGGATAATGCCAGGGCAGCACCTTGAGGTGCCACCTTTCCTTGTTCCACAGGGTCTCAGGAAGAGCCCTTTCCTAGTTAAGCCTGTTGAAACCAACTTGGCAGTCAAGCAGATTAGATAAAGTGTAACTGGGCTTGAGAAAGGCAGGATAGAAATATCGTAAATAAATAAATATTTATTTGCATCTGCACAGCATTCCTTACCATTATGCTAGCTACACCTTGTGGGATTTGGAGTCCTTCACCTTTTGGAAGCCTGCTTGATTTTGTTCCTGCTAGAGATGCTGGAGGTGGGAACTTTAGAAACCTGAGACAGACCTCGGCAAAACAAATGACAGATCCTTTTTCTTACCCTTCCTTTTTCAACATCACTCTTTGTTTTGAAGAGTCAATTCCTGCTTAGATGTAGCTTGACTGAGTCTCGATTACTTCTTGCCTTACAGAATCTGTGGGTGAACCTCCTTAATGTGCTCTTTGGAGCTCTTGCGATCTTCCACTTGGCTTATCTAGGCTCATTATTTGACATGGATGCAGATGATTCTATGGAAGAACAGGTAAGGGATGAAGAATCAGCAGGAATAATTTTCCATCCTTTCCTGTCCCTGTTTTGTCCCTATCATCCCAAAATAATTTGCACTGATGTGCTCTGTTTCTCTCTCTACTCCAGGGCTATGGCATGTCGTACACCATCCGCAAGTGGTCCGAACTAAGCTGGACCAGCCACTGGGTGACTTTTGGTTGCTGGGTCTTCTACCGTCTCATCAGCTGAACCTCTGTGTGGGCTTGAGGGGAGATGGAGCAAGAGGAGAAGGCAGGAACTGAGGTCCCTGTGTCCTCCAAAAACTTTGGATGCCCTTTCTGGATTTGGGTGCTCTGAACACTGATGGAGCCCTTTTCTCCTGGGACAGTTTGAGGGAAGGGGTCCCTTTGTCAGGATACACTTTGTGCCACGTTGCAGGAACGTCTCTTCTCATTTCCTTCGAAAGAAAGTCAGTTATGGCCCACATAAAAATGAATGTTGGGAAAGGTGGCCCTGGTAAAGTTACCTTTTCTTTAGGTACATATAAAAAAGGAAATCCTTTTGGGATTTTTTTTCCTTGAAGGAATAATATCTGTTACCACCAGGACATTGCATCATGACGCTACAGTTCTACTGGCCTATCCATGCCCATCTTAGGCTCCCCCATGTGGTTATTTGTGGAAACTCTACCAACTCTCCTCTTTGTATGACTTTATTCAGTTATTTTTTTTATTATAGCTACAGCCAGCCCTCTACATTTGCTTAATATCTCTCTAGGTATGTCTCCAGTACAGCTCTTACAGGGGAAGTAGACTATGGAATCAAACTGGAGGACCTAGAAATTTCTAAAGAGACCATATGAATTAAATCCTCAAAAGTTAAACCCACAAATGAAGAGGGCTGACTGTATTGTCCTACTGATTCCATGCATGCTGTCCTATTCCCTTCTGTGGCTGGTTGTGGAAACCACCCTCTCTGCTCTCGTGGTATCCCAATTATCCTTAGAGTTGTTGTCTTTTTTAGCAGTAAAACCTGCTAGTTGGCCAACTAGAGCAGCGAACTTTCAAACAGTATCTGGGTTTTAAAGTATTCCCTTTTCCATAACTTTAGATTTAGCAGTGTTGTATATATAATTTGCATTTCCTGAAGCTCTGTTATCAAAGGGTTTGAGGGTTCTAAGGGAGGACTGGGAGAACAGATTGAAAAAGATGAACTACAGTTTCCATAATTCATAAAGCTGTATTTTATTGAAAAATAATTTTTCCAAGCTTTTGTTTGGAGTTTGGGGGTGAGCAATTGTTAGCCATGCAGAAGAATCAGAAGAAATTATGCAGAATACTAGATTTTGTATTTATCTTTTTCTTTCTTAAGCATGTGGGCTACAAACGTGTTCCATTTTTTTTCTCTGATTGAAAATTAAAGGTTACAGAATTCTGTGGCAGATTATGTCTTGTTGCACAACATAATTTCAGCCTCAGGATAATATTGTTTTGGTTGAATTCATCTGGAATAAAGTTCATTCTCATTCCAGTTATATTAATATGAAACAGGCCTACATCTGCATCCGTAACTATACATTAAATGAGTGGAGAGTGGAAGTGGAGTTTTTTTTAGCTTTTTTATCACAATCCACTCTCATGATTGTGAAAAGTTAAAAGATTCCCTATAGACTCATGTATAAGTTTAAAAATCTAGCCAATTTCTAATGCTTTGTCAAAATGAGGAGTTAAAATGAGGAGTATAATCCATAAAATGTGGATTATAACTTTCACCGGATGATTTCTGCAGGATATAATATTATTATTATTATTATTATTATTATTATTATTATTATTATTATTATTATTGGAAAGCTAATTTAAATATGGTTAGTTCTTTACAGTGGGTCTATGAGGCATCATCCACAAATGTGGCAAAAAGGGGTGGCAATAAGCCTGGATAACACAATTGGGTTGTACTATGTCAGAATGCAATTGGCAATCCCATTATTAAAAACGTCGACTTAAAAGCATATACAATACTAAGATGAGTCTGCGGCGGTGGTCATACTTTGGATATGTCATAAAACAACGTGACACACTGGAACAGGAAATAATGCTCTGGTAAAATGGTCGGTAATGAGAAAAAAGAGTGCCTACACTACCAGTAGATGGAGTCACTCAAGGAAGCCATGCCTCGTGAGTTTGCAAGATCTGAGTTGGGCAGTTAATGATCTGGGCAGTTGATGAATACACAACATCTGGGCAATTGGTGAATACACAACAACACATTTGTTGTGTATTCATAAGCAGGGGCGGCTCAACCCATTACACAAAGTAAGAATTTGCAGTATAGTTGATTTTGCCCAGGGGCGCTCTTGGGGGAAAATAGACCTTGACATATGCGAGTTGTAGTTACTGGGATGTATAGTTCACCTACAATCAAAGAGCCTTCTGAACTCCACCAATGATGGGATTGAACCAAATATGGCACACAGAACTCCCACGACAAACAGAAAATATATATCAGTGATTTTGGGGGGGGGGGGCAAAATACTGTTTGCTTACCGTTGAAAATTACCTAGGGCCGCCTCTGTTCATAAGTAAAATGCAATGGCAAAGAATCAAGAATTTCAGAGGCATATTGTCACCCCACCAGTGTTGACTCAATAACTGAGAAATTGTTCTCAGCAGAATCCCAACAACCATCTCATATTGCAGGATGTTGCAACCAGAGTTGCCTGAAATGTGAGGGAACCACGAGAAGCTGCTTAGGGTTTCAAAAGAGATTGTGAATCAAACACACACATTTTTATACAGGGCTTCACTGACATGAGAACATTATTTCAAGGGATCTTCCAGAGAAAAAAATGTGAACGTTTGTCATTCTGCCTTCTAAGCAGACATTAGGTTTATATACATCAGTGGTTCCCAACCTTTTTTTTGACCAGAGCACACTTTGACCAGGGACCACTCTCCAACATTAGTATTTATTATTTATTTATTATTTATTTCGAGGTTTTATATACCGACCCTCTCACCTTCAAAGAGGGATTCGGACCGGTTCACAGCATGTGTTAACATACAAAGAATATACAATAACAACACAATGTCACTTCATTACACGATTAAAATATCAGCACCATACACATTAAAACATTATCATCACAGTTAAAAGAGCCAAATCGTCCAACACCATCACAATACCATTCATCATCCTCCTTTCATGTGGGCAAAGAATTAAATCAGTTGTCAAATGCCGCGTTCCACAACCAGGTCTTTGTTAGTTTCCTGAACGTCATGAAGGAGGGGGCAGTTCTGATCTCTAATGGCAGGGAGTTCCAAAGTCGAGGGGCCACCATCGAGAAGGCCCTGTCCCTCATCCCCACCAGCCGTGCTTGTGCAGGCCGAGAGCAGGGCCCCTCCAGACTATCTTAGTGGTCTTGATGGTTTGTAGGGGAGAGTACCAAAAGGGATGGGGCTGGTCAGCTCTATGGAAAGGAGTGGAAATAAAATAAATAAAGAGGAAGGAGATTCTCAGGCCAAATTTTTGTTCTTGTGGCCCACTGCTGGGCCATTGCTCACAGGTTGGGAACCACTGATATACATGGTCATCTGTTTTGCTTCCATAGCTCCATTAATACACTACCTATTGACATTTAGCAAAGTGTGAGCTATGATGGTTGAATAAAAAGTAATGCCTCCACCTTCGTTACTTGGATTTGGATGGGAATATTTTAATAAATCAATCGCAAAAATAACCCTTAGAATGTGCTCTTTAACTACCACTACTCACTTTTTGACATAATCACCAGACAACTGGATACATTTCTGCCAACGATGAACAAGTTTTCTGAAGCCGTCAACACTCTGTTCCCGCAACCCATCGTGCACAGATCTTAGGCTAGGCAAGGCGTCAAAAGCAAGGCAAAAGGCAAGAGTGCCTCACAGTGCTGGGCAGGAGCAACAGGGTTTGATAGTTTGAATTGCAATGTGCTCTTTGGTCAAATCCTTTCTTATATTCTTGGAGTTTTTTTATTCCACCTCTTTGTCTTCCCATTGTCTTCCTCTTGCATCTTGTCCAATTGTGAGGAGAAAAAAATCCATGTGAAAGGGATCTAGGAGTCTTAGGAGATCGCAAGATGAACATGAGCCAAGAGTGTGGTGCTGCAGCTAAAAAGGCCAGTGTGATTCTTGGCTGCATCAATCGGAGTCAAGGGAGGGAAGTCCCAGTCCGGTGAAGTCTCTTTGGGAAGTTCTTAAGCAGAGGCTGGATGGCCATCTGTTAAGAGGGCATTGTGTTTTCCTGCATAGAAGGGGGTTGGATTAGATGGCCCTTGGGGTTTCTTCCAACTCTACGATGAGCACTTTCATCAATTTTCCTAATGGAATTCTTATAATAATGTTTACTTTCCTTTCTCCAAACAATTGGTGTATTTTTCCTTCAATCAAGCTCTCTGATGGCTCGACCATGGGACGCATTTTAACCAACACTATTGTGAGCAACACAAGACATGAAATAAAAGATATTTATTTACTTTTACCATTGCATGGAGCACAATCCCCTTACAAGGCTTTCACTGGGCATGAATGATGCGCCACCCATTGTGATGCGCCGGATGTTCCATGGCAGTTAAGGCTGAAGGAAGGGACCCAGAGTGAAGTGGTTGTCTCCATGAACAAGGATCATCAAGAAACAGCCAATGGGTGGATGATTTTTCATTTTGTTGTGTTGCCGCTTTCCTTTGAGGAAAGGAGGAGGGTGTCCTTCCCTTTCAGATGAAGGAGGCAAAGCTGAGGATCGGAGGAGACATTGGATCCCTCTGGAAGAAGAGAAGCCCAAAGAGAAAAGCAAAGGGGATTCGGCCCAAGGGATCGATAGCAACTGCTTCTGAGATCCTGCCCTATTCAGCTGTGTCGGTTTGGTCGAGACCCTGCAGGGTGAGCTTGATGGAAATCTACCTGTATATTTGGCAGGCTGGTTGGAGGGGGAAGACAATGCCCAGAGTTGGAGCCAGGCTCATTCCTCCCAATGCCTTTCTGGGTCACAGTGTGAGTTAATTGTATTGTTTATTGTACTAACCATAGGCCATGACATAAAATATACAACCTTTAAAAGTACAATAAGCACTTTCCAATATAAGTATTGGCTCTTTAAAGTTATAGTAGTAATGACATAACAACAATTACAAATGTCTGATTCGTGTTATCCCAAAATATCTCAATTTCCATTTCTGCTGTGGACTTTACTAGTTTGGCTCGGATTTTTTGGGCTGCAACTGCACATGTGGCAACTTTTAATGTTATATTTTTGGAATAATCCGCTAACAAGTCACAGATAACTGCTGACTGTTGCCATGCTGCCCGTTCTTCCAAAAGGGGTCACAGAAGGTTGTTTTGAGGCTCCATTATACAACGGGCAATGTAACAGATAGTGTGTTAAATCCTCTCTTCCCCCAGACCCACAAATACAAAGTTGTTGGGCATGAGGGATCCCTCTATGTCTTCCCTCTAACCAGCCTGATGGCATTGTTTGAAAGCGCAGGGCTGTAAATGCTTTTCTAAGGGCTACAGATGTTAAATCTTGAAGATATTGTTGGTAATATTGGTCACTCTTTAGTAGAGGATACCAAGTGGAGAAACCCTACTGTTTACTAGTCCGCAAGTTGTCAATTGCATCCATCTCAAAGATTTGAATTCTCCTATTACCTCCAGATGGTGGGAAGTGATCAGGGAATGTCAGCAACTAAATTGTTCACATAGAAATTGAACAGAAAAGGTGCCAGCAAACAACCTTGTCTGACTCCCCTTCTTGTTTCAATGTTGTCTTAGAGTTTACCTGACACGATGTTCGTATTTTCCAGACCAGCAATTCTATCTCCCAAGACAGTATCACAATATGATTTTTACCTTTGAATATGTTTTAATGGAATTTGACTGTGAATTTTTAATACTGTTATGTTTAATTCTGTTTTAATGTTTGCATTTTTATATATTACAAAATTTGTGGTCATACTTTTAATTGTAAGCTGCTTTGAGTCTCCTTCAGGGGATATAAAGTGGGGTATA